TAACTTCCAACATTGCCTCTGCCCCTGGCATCTGCATGTTCCTTTTGCTTGTCTTGGCTCTCAGCCATTGCGTCACGCACATGTCGTAAGACACTCAGACACGTCGACAAGAAAGCGTCAACCTGTTTACGAACAGTAGCCGGGCTGACATCGGCTAGCCGATCAGCTAAATCGGCTTCTCCCCCCCACCAAGCCCGAGGCCATCACGTGGCGGCGTCAGCGGGACGCGGGGATGAGACAAGCTGTTCACGTAGAACGGCGTGTAGCCTGTCGAGGCGTGCACGGCGTTGTTCAACGCAAACTCAACGAGTGGCAGCATGGCGCTCCAGCGCTTCGGCGTCTCGGCGCAAATGATGCGGAGCACGTCCTCGACGACGCGATTCACGCGCTCTGTCTGACCATCGGTCTGCGGATGGTCCGCCGTGGGCATGTCAAGCTTGGTGCCAAGCACCGCAAAGACCGCGCTCCAGCAGTTGCCCGTGAAGCGGGGGTCTCGGTCCGAGACAATCGACTCAGAGAGGCCGTGTTGTCGAAACACTCGGTCCAAGAACAGCGTTGCTGTACCTTTGCCATCGATGGTATCCGGCACAGCCGCAATGTGAGCCATCTTGCTCAGTCGGTCCACGAAGACCACGACTCCAGTGTTGCCCGCCGCGTCCGCCGGCAGGCCAAACACTAAGTCCATACTCATGGATTGCCGACAGCCCGAAGGGACAGGCAAACTCGCCAACGGCGCTGCAGCAAGAGGTGACGACTTCACGCGCTGGCACGTCTCGCAGGTGCGCACATAAGTGCTCGCCCACTTGTAAAGCTTCGGCCACCAGTAGTGGGTGCTCACCGAGCTGTAGGCCTTCTCATGGTCAAGATGGCCTGTCAGCGGCGTGTCATGTGCCTTATAGAGGATGCGGTACTTCACGTCCTCATCATGAGGGATGACCACGCGGAGCGTATCCTCGGGGCCAGTGTTGTAGAACAACAGGCCTGCATCGAGGGAATAGCGGTGTAGCCGCGCGCGCAGCCGCGCTGACAATTCCATGTCCGAGTCTTGAAACTCCTTGCTCCCCAGAGCCTTCAGCAGCGTGACACAGGTGTCGTCCTTGGCATAAGCCGTTCGGATCAGATCTGGTAATGACGAAGTCACGGTCGTTACATGAGCCAGCTCATAATCGGGCCTGCGCGACAGCGCGTCCGCAAGGACATTCTGCCTGCCAGACTTCTACTTCACCTCGAAGTCCTACTCCGCGAAGAAGGACAACCAACGGGCCATCCTTTGCGAGAGGTGAGGCGACTGAGTCGCAGTGCGTAACGACGCATGACCCGTGTAAATCACGAACGGCTGAGAGCCCAACAGGTGAACCCTGAACTTGACGAGCGCATACTTCATCGCATGTAGCTCTTTGTCATGGACAGGATCGCTCGCGCCCCTCGGCGTCTGCTTGCAGCAGTGCACAGCCGAAGACAAAGTCCGAGGCGTCACAGACGACACTAAACGGACGAGCGGGGTCTGGCAGAGCCAGAATAGGCGCATGAAAGAGACTGTCCTTAATGGCCGCGAACGCATCTTGATGTTCGGTGTCCCAACACCAGTCCGCATCCTTCTTCAGGAGATTGGAGAGTGGCCGAGCCATCTCAGCGTAGTTCTCGCTGTACTTGTGCAAGTAATTGGCCAAGCCAAGCCACTTGCGAAGATCCTTCTGGTTCTTGGGAACCGGCCAGTCAACAATGGCCTTGACCTTGACCGGGTCGGCCCTCAGGCCCTAAGAAGGGGATCTCTTCCGCTCCAAAGATACATTTGTCAATGTTGGCGTACAACTTGTTTTGACGCATGCATTCGAGCACAGCCAGCAGGTGCTCCACATGGTTCTCCATATCAGTCTTTCCGTGCTCCGCACGACTGTGGACAAAGATGTCATCGAAGTACGTATGCGCGTACGCCCGATGGGGCCTGAAGAGCTGCCTCACAAGACGATTAAATGTCGCTGGCGCGTTCGAAAGCCCTCGGGGCATCACCAACCACTCCTAGAGCATGCCGCTCGTCCTCATGAGCAATTGGTAATATCCATCGACCAAGTCGAGCGCACTGTACATCGTACATCCTGTCATGTTGTTCTGAAGAACATCCTTCCGAGGAATCGGCGTCTGCGCCGGAATGGTAGCGGCATTCAGCTTGTTGAAAGCATGCACGCTATGCCACTTGCCATTCGGCTTTCTGACACAGAACGTTGGCGTAGAGTGTGGAAACTTACTCTCACGCACCATGCCCGCCTCGTGCTTCGCACGGAAGAACGCGTCAATGACGTAACACTGCTACTTCGGCAAGGGCTACTGCCTCGTCACGCAGTACTTCGTTCCCGGAACGAGATCGATTTCGTGTCGAACACCTCGATCGTGAGGTAGCCCCCAGGGCGGCTCCTTCGAGACCACGTCCTGGTAATCCTTTACCACTTGATACAAGGGATCCGACGGGTTCCTCAGGATCGCCGATCCGCTCCGCGCATTCAGCGCCTTCTTTGTGTCTTCTAGGACAGCTTCATCCAGAAGCGAAGACGAGTTCAACTCTTTTTCGGGTCGTATGACCACTACCTCAGCCAAGTCACCAGCCTTCAAGGCTTTGCCGAACTCGGCCAAGGACATCTCGTCCAGCTCCAGGAGAGCAGACAGTGAGGGCAAGTCGTCGAGGTTGATACCTCCGTCGACGTCGCCCGTCACTCCATTCACGAGTTTATAGAGCTGTTCGTGCTCGCGTGGAGCCTCACCGCTCGACACGCCCTTCTCGACTCGTAAGATCACAGACGCCTTGCGTCTCGCGGCCAGCGCTTTGTGGTGCTGCCTCCTCTTCATGGACACCGTCCGCCCTGAAGAGCTCCGTGATTTCGGGTGCGTCTTGACGCCAGGTGTCACCACCTCGTTCATCTCCAGGGGAGCTCCAGTGTCTTTACCGACACTCAGCGAAGAGCTGCACGATCCGCAGCCTCCACTCAGTGGATTGCGTGCCACTCCACGATCTTCATCCGGGCAAAGCCCCTTGTTCTTCGGCATCGTGCCGACCGCGCCGTCGCTGGCACGCAGCAGGGCGTCGCCCTCAGACGCACGCCCGTTCAGCGGAATTAGTGCCGCCCCACCTGCCGTCCGCGAGCCACGCTCGGAACGCTCGTTCTCGACACACTCAGTGTCCACCAACTCGGAAACTCCGATGGCCAGCACATTGACCAACCCGGTCCAGTGCTCGCGCTAGAAGCGCTTCTGCTTCCTAGCAGAGGTGGGTTCATGACTCGCCAATGCTCCGCCAGGAGAGAAGTGCGTAGCACCAAGGGTCTTCAACCTCCGATCGATCCAAGGGTCGTGGCGTTCCAGCCACGCCATACCAAGGATGAGATCATATCTCGAATCGAGGTCTAAGACCAGACAGCGTTCCACGCTATCGAAATCCAAAAACTTCACGCCCAGGTCCACAGGGACCTTAGGCACCGTGACACGAGTGCCCGTCACGAGACAAACAGTGACGATGTCACTCCTGCGCGCTACCAGCGCCTCAGCATAAAGCTGACTTCCGTCCATCGTAGAACGCCGGGCGTAGTTTCCCGACGCTCCCGAATCGATCAAAATCGTCCATGGCTTCGCGAAGCCCTTCACCCAAGCTTGGACAACTAGCAAGCCCGGCTTGCATATACGTTCCGTGTTAGAGAGTACGGCTCTCATCGGGGCTAAGTCCTGTCGACCTCCACCTCGCCGAGGCTCAATAGAACTTAGTTCTTCCCCAGTAGGTCGCCCCGCGCCTACTGGGACTTCTCGTTTCGCCGAGACGAACCAGAGCCCTGGCTCGAACTCGAAGAGCGGCTTGACGAAGCCTGGCGCTGATGGCGCAGCGGACACCCAGCACGAAGGTGACGGGTGTCACCACAGATGAAGCATCGGCGGATGCCGCGACGCTGCTCAGCAGCACGAAGCTCGGCTTCTTCGTCTTCAGCATAGCTGAGGTTCATGGGTACCGGACCACTCGACGCGCTAGCGTAAGACGCATTCCACCCAAGTCTCGACGACTTAAAGTTGTGTTCCGCATTCAATGCGACGCTCACAGCCTCTTCAAAAGAGCTCGGGTGGGTTCGGAACACCTCCGTCCTGGCAACGCCAGTGCGGAGGCCCTCCATGAACACCGTAACGGTGACTGCTTCCGGCAGGGGGTCCGCAGACATGCCAGCAATGAGAGTTCTCAACTCTTGGACATAGTTCATCAACTCCTTCTTGCTCTGCCTGGTCGCCAGAAAGCGTGAGCGCACGCGATACGCCTCGTTAGGCGGAGCAAACACTCGGGACAATTGCTGTTTCAGCTGGTCACGTCGGGAAGGCCACCTCGACCGACATCACAGACGTTCGTGCCCACTCTCTCGCTCCCCCACCGAGCTTCGAGATAGCTAGTGCCACGCGCTGCGCCTCCGTCCGGAGTAAAGCTGAGCTCATAGCCATCTCAACCTCACGGGTCCAAAGCATCAAGCTTTCACCCTCCTTGCCTTCGAAGGTCTTCACGCTCAACATGAGCGGCTTGGGTCTTGTTCCCGCGTCGGACGACGAAAGGGGCGCTTGGGGCGCCGCGGCAGTCGCCATCCTCTGCTAGAGGTGCTCTAGCAGAGCATTCTCGTAGCTTGAAAACGCCTCGAGACGCGCGTTCACCGCGTCGGGGCCTTGCTGCGCAAGTTGCGTCACGCCCTCCGGGCCCAGCAAGGACATAAGCGTTTTAAGCGCATCCTGCTGGTTCGGGGGCAAGTGAGTGAACTGCTCCATTCTCCACAGAGGGTCAGTCTATACAGACTCAGGTGTCGGATTGACTACAAGTGCTACCAAGTGCAGCGGGGCTGCCGTAGCTTTGCGTCAGAGTAAGCTTTACAGACTCACAGAGTCTCAGCTTAAGATAGCCCGTTCTAATACCAGAACGTACGAGTCCGTACACCCTACGGACTCCAAGAGTCAACCCTTAACTCTTAACTGTGTGAATCTCAAACTGAATGTATTTCCCTTTATTGCGGCAAAGCCGCCTACGGTGTAAATGCATCCGGTTCACTATCTAGCATAGTGAACCCTAGTCATATGCACAATCAGTGGCTCTGAAGCCAAGTACTGATTCTCCTACTGATTTAGGTTAGACAGTGTGTACCCACTGCGTAACCCTTCGGGCAACTCTCGTGTAACTCCGTTACAGTCAGTCTCGTCTTCCAGGCGCCGGCGATGTTCCTCTAGCTTTTGAACTTGACGTCGCTGACACTAACTGATCCGTTGGCGAAGCATGCGGCAACCGATTCACGCCGAGCTTCCATCTCGATCTTATCACCACCCGCGTTGGTCTCGGCGTCATATGCAGCTCCCCCATTCCAAAAAGAGCTTTCGTTGTGGAGTACGCCGGCGAGTTGCTGCTGGACAAGGACGCAATGACGCGCCCGAACCGTCGCTATCAGGTTCAGATGAAAGCCAAGGCTATCTGGGACGACTCCACCGTGTTCATCGACGCCGCTGAGTGCGAAAATGAAAGCCGCTTCATCAATCACTCATGCCGACCTAACTGCGCTCTCTATGAGCGACAGCGGACGAACGGATCGCGCCTCGGTGTCTTTGCGGAAACCGACATCCCACCGCTGCAGGAGTTGACGTTTCGCTACTCCGAGAAGATTCTTACACTGTTCACGTTTCAGTGCGGCGACAAGAACTGCATTTCGAACAACCAGTAGTAAGTTTCAACATTGATTAGTCGCTCACCTCCCTCATTTAATCGATTTCACAATGACACTCCACGTACCATTCGGTTACACTACATCCGCCTTCCCTTTGCAGTTCTCCATATGCAGATATTCAGCTCGAATATGATCACTAGCCACCTGCGATCGCCATCTCCGTCATGTCGCCCCGCGACGAATAACTAAGTGTAGTAGATGATGGTGTAGCCACATAAACCTGTACTTTCGGTCGGCATTCGTCCAACAATCCAAAATCTCACGTCAATCTCACAAATGCATTTTATGGAACTATGTAATAACCACAACACAATGTACTTACGTCCCAGAAAAATAATTGTGTGGCATTGCCACATATTGCACCAGCACATACGCAATGTTTACTTTGCTAGTGAAGCGCGTCCACATCTTACCTACACGTACTCGGAGACAACAGTTGTAGGACGTATCCTCAGCTTCACGGCAACGCAATCCCTTCCCCAGATGCAACACCTCACTCACTCAGCTCCTCATTTGACGGCACAAACTCAGACGGCGAACTGCTCGCTTCGTCGACTTCCAATGGTGGCGTCCTGCGGTGTCCCACCTCTTCCTTCTCCTCCGACTCGTCCGTTGCAAAACCGGAACCCAGGCTTGACCCCTCCGCCGACGCCAAGTCCTTGCCATCCGCCTCGTCACTTTCAGGCTCGCCCTTGCTCCTCTTAGGCGCCTGTGCTGCGTCATAACCCCCCCTCTTCCGTAGAAGTCTCCTGTGACGGATCAGCTGCTTCACTGGCTTGCGTCGGGTCCGAACAACCTTCTTGTTGATCCTCGATGTGTCCTTGATCGTTATACGAAGCTGTAGGCGCCAGAGGCGGTGGCGCACCAACTACTTGAAGCCTTGGAAAGATAATCACGGCGGGTGGAGGGGTGGCTGCTACGCCACTTTGCACCGCTCTGCGCCACGGCTGGCGGAGCTCTTGGATTCGTCGATCCTGCGCTTGACGGCGCCGCGCTCGCTCCTCATCGTACCGTTCATGCATTGATTCAGGAGCATTTTCGTCGGCCTGGTCCATTAAAAACCTGGCCTGCTCCAGGGCCTCCAGCCTAATATTTAGGCACCTGACTGTTATCTGCACAACAGGGCTGTTCGCATCGTATGTTTCCCTCAACCTGTGCAGGGTCTCAAACGCAGCAACAACATGGGCAAAGGCAGCGATCTCAGTCTGCAAGGCTCCCGCGCGGCGCGGGTTAATCTGATCCACCTTGACTCCGAATTCCCAGTCTATTGCGAAAACCAAAACTAGCAGTAAATGATACCAAGAGACTAACGATAGATATTGACAAGTACATTGTGAAAGCAACAGACAACTAGGTCCGCCACATCGTTGTGTATTACACATAAACAGTCGCCGCAGTAGAGGCAGATTGGCGATCGGCGCAGAACGCTGGCACAGTGCATTGTCAAATAGAAATACTATGGGCAGTGTACAGCTAATACAGCTCTTACACTGTTTTACGTGGGTAGCCACATCTCCACACAGCCATATAGCTGCACCAAGCAGTACCCAGCCGCCTCTACAGCGGGCGACCTCTATGTTATGTGTAATACACAACAGTGATGTGGCCCACCTTGGAAAGGCTTCAGATTTTAGAAACCTACCGGTAAGGTTCAATTGAAGTTGAAGATAACGGTTGAAGTTCATACAAAACTCATACTGAACTCAAGTGACTCGAGCGACCCCGCAACTGCAAGTTGAGCTGCAAGCGCTGCAAAGACCCCCGTAAATAGGCCTCAGACTCCATTGGCGCAAAGGGCGCAAGCTGTCAACTTGATCAGACGCACAGTGGATACTTCGCGACCGTTCGCGAAAAATCGCAGTACCGTCACTTTACGTATATTTTCATTTCTAATAGCCACTTCACACAATATTGTTTCTGCCCTAAACTTACTCGAGAGAAATACCGTGGATTGCTGAAAAATTATACCTAAGTTAATAGCTACACACGAGGAATTAACTGAGATCTGGGAAGCTGAATTTCGCCACATTCACAAACCCGACGCTGTCCCTTGTGAGTTTTACGGACCTGTTTCACCGACCCCCTTCCTACAAAACCCAAATGAGGTGCACACCAACAACACATAATACAGTGTAGCCACTACCCGTTTTGTTGATAAACGTTTTAATGACAAAAAACTCTAAATATACGTTTCTGCAGCCCGGAAAAGCGCTTGTGCTTTCAGCCCTAAGGCTGAAAGAACTTGCCTTCATTTCGATATTTGCACGGCGGCAGGTACATGAGGTGGGTAATGGGGTCACAAAGTCGAGCGTGATAATGACGTTGGTTATAATGCTTTTTGGATCTGGCTAGGTAGGACAGAAGGCCGACGAGCATGGATCCGCCAGCTGAGCCAGCGCTTCGTTTTATAAAACTTCAGAAGGGGTCGGCTTGGCGACAAACTGCGTGGGGGCAAACGCGTAACTACGCTAGGTAAATGCGTGGATGGCATGAACGGTAACGATGGTGCTAACACGGAGCATTATGTTCGAACAGAGGTGATCGACGGCGGAGTGGTAAAAACCAGTAGCCACCCACCTTGCTAGAAGTTTAGACAGCAAACTACAGAAAATGTCACACTCATCTGAAGCCGCGCCCACGGATGACGTGTCGCCAGGTCAGAAGCCTGCGGTAGGAATACATTGGGGGTATGAAGGACTAGACTACGACAAGATACAAATAGGAGTAAGTACAACAACATACATGAAAACACACAACAGAGTACAACCTGAGAAACAAGAACAATATCACAGTAAACTACGAAGTGCAAATACATCAAAATAATTGTGCAAAATATCACGAAGCACAATATAGCACAGCAACATGCTATACAACACAATAGAATCCAACGAGCAGCGTGCCGCCCCAGTGCATAGTTAGTTGTACGAATTACGTCTCTCCCCGGGACCCATGGGCCCGGGTAAGCTGTCGGGTTAATTCGCACCTCGGTAACTGAAGCCGGTAGCTGAGGCCGGTATCCGTGGTCCCGTGTCACTGTCTGTCTTTCTGTTGGTGACCCGGTTACTGAAGCCAGTAACTGAGGCAATATCACTTTCTGTCTCCTAGTAGAGCTAAACATCAATCGTGTTGCGCCCGTGATGAACCGAGCACGCATTTTGAATTCGTCTGGATCGCGCAGATTGGTGATGGGGAATAGTTTTTCTCTCGAAGCGTCGCTTTTAAGTTCAGCTGAATACTCAAAACATTCTGCTGTTTCTTCAAACCATGGGATTAACGTAATGATCCTAAACCAAATTAGTAGACACAGGCGTTCATATTATTCCTCTGTGGCGTAGATCAGCACTTTGACGTGGTAAGTTGTGGCCATGACAACTAATTCGTGCTTTGCCACCGGAACGACTGGCAAGGACAAGATGGCGCTCGAATCCTACGGCTAGTCACAAAAAGGAAGCCGCACGGCAGCGTGGCAACACCAACGTCAGCACGCAAGACCGCTCAAATAATGGAAGCCTAACGCTATGGTCGCCACGACCGCTATGAACGCCTAGTTTTCAAGTTGGCAGGGGTGTCTGTTCTGTCGACTAGAAATTTGGCCACGCTACCAAGTCTAGTATATCAGGGCTCGGAAAATAAAATATAAAATTGAATTGGGAATCTATGAAAAAATCATCCGTTATTCCATTTCTTGAGGCTCCCGTAATAATAATAAAATCATTATTGTGTATCATTGGGGCAATACTGAACCGTAAAACTAACATTTGGGGCGTAAAAATGGGTTCTAACCGAGAACTTTAGTGTCTTAACGACTGAAATCTGGTGAAAACTCAATATACTTATTATTGGTACAATATCATATTTTACGGAAACCCAATAATCAGTTATTCCGTCAATATAATACTATAATTTTTATATTATATATTTTTTGAGACCTGTAGTATATCGCCGTTAGTATGTAGGATACCAACATATTGACAGATATGGCAGCTTGCATATCTTGCGACGCCCACAAATTTAGGACCAGAAAATGACAAGACATGTTAAAGTGCTGAATTTACTAAGAACTTATATATTGCGCCATTAAGGTTATAAGTTCACGTGCCAGCCGATCCTTGGGGTTGTGCAGATCCGACACTGTGTTTGTCTCTCAGAGTTGGATCTCTTTGATGGACCAGGATTGCAGCGCCTCGGGATAACTCGACACAACCGCGGACAAACGGATCCACCACCAACCCGTAATTTTAGGTCCTGACAAAGATGGTGCTTGTTTGGGCGACATTCCTCTGTATGAGGAGGGGTAATATCACGTCTTACCTTGCGAAATCCGTAAACAGCCACAGACACTTCTGGGAAGCCGCCCTTTCGCACTGCAACAATCGCGTTGGTCAAGGTCTCTGCTCGAACTATCACCGTCGGCACGACGTTATCGGCATCGGTTAGGCAGGACGCCCTGCCGTCGAGAGCGTATATCAACCACGCCCACTGCTCGACGCTAATCGATTTAAAAATTACGCTGTCCAGGCGAGCAGAAGGCGTCGTATCAGCAATAGCCGAACAAATGGCGGCGATAATGTCGTCCAATACCACGTCGCTGAGATCCTCCCATTTCGCGCTGCTTAAAGCCCGAGAAATTATATCCTTCCTCACACGCTTTTGCACTTCGGCATTTCCAGTACATCGGCAAGCGGGGTTTCCTTGCCGCATGTCAACCAGTGCAGCCTTCACACTAGCAACACTCAGCTGGGCAACAGCAGGAATGTGAAGCCCCAATAGGTTTCGAAATTGATTAACATGCGAGTCCACCCCACTGGCTGATTTCTCAAGCTCCTTCCACTCTGTTCTCCCGGAAGCTAATCTCCCAGTTAACGGAGGGCCGATACCAAATGCAGGCAGAATGGTTGCTACTCATCGCCTCTAACTTTTGAGCCGCTGCTTGAAACTCAGGCGATTACTCGGTCGAGTCCCCCGCGAATCTCATCATCGCGCCCCAGGTGACTGGAGTTTGACTTGCTACGAATTCCTTAGGAGATACAGCTCCAAATAAGTGAAGACTCCATCTCGGATGGAAGCAACGCTCATCTGCTCCCGGTGCTTGTATCTCCACCGCTGCAATCATGAGCTCGACAAATGCGCCATTGTTAACATACGACAGACGAGTATACAACGGAATCGGCTCCCCCAGTTGTTGTACTGCTGCAGCTTCTCGTTGGCTTGCCTTCGATACGAAAACTTTAATGTAAAAATTGTGCCGCGTTGCATCGGCGGGGCAGTAGCACGGGGAAGACAGCTCGTAGGACCGAGTAAAATGTATTTTCACTGCACTACCGTGCATCAAAAGCTGCGTAGCGTACCACGGCACTACAAAATCCCACTCGGCTGCGCGGCTGCGTCCGAGCTGGATACTACGGAGCCATCTCCAGGAAGCCGAAGGTGCCAAATTGCAAGGTTGAAGGAGCGATCATCCAAACTTCTTGACAAAAACTAGTGCGCCAGTCTGCATCAACAATTTACGCTTTCATTGAAAGTGTCAATGTGCGCTATCAACCCAAGCCACTAGATGATACGTCAACGGTACTGTAGACATGGCAGTGTGGTGATATCATCGTTCAGCTTACGCAAGAAACTTAATAATCTTTTATTCTCAAAAACCGTTCAGCTTACGCAAGTAACTCAATAATCTTTTCTTCTCAAAAAAACAAAAAAAAACAAGACTGTGAAGCTACAATTCTAGCACTCATAAATCAGATCCCTGGTGTGTATCCTCATGACGACAGCAAAAAGAGTAGCGTAAGTTCACCTGTATTAAATCGGAAATGTATTGGTTGGCAGGACAGAAGAGTAGAACGAACGATACAGCTGGCAGAAAAACTCTACTAATAACATCGAACTGATCTTTGAGCGGGTGTCGACGCGAATACGAATATCAGGCTCGGGATATTGGCGTCCAGGTGGCGAATTGCCCTCGAATTCATCGTAGAGTGACGCCCCGTGTGGTCTTTCATCACGGCACTAATCAGTGCAGATTTAGCCGGGTTGGGCAACTTCTCCTTCGTGACGTGCAGAAACTCCTCGCCATGGGCCTTGAGCCCCCTCCTCTCCTCCGCGTCAAATTTTCGGTTCTGAACCGGCGTCACTATTAACTCCACGAGCTCCCGTCTCATTCGAAGCGTTGGATTTCACAGCAATGATAGCAGGTGTGTCACCGTGGCTGTCTGGCAGATTGTCATGTCCTTAATGGGCCACAAACACAGAGCCGAGTAATATGCAGACGCAACTATCGTACAACACGATGTGCTCAGAGACTTTAGCGCTGGGCAAACGGCAGCTACCACGCTCCGGTCCACGAGGAGCTGCCCCTCGTCCACACTAATCGATAACCTGCGAATGCAATGAAATGCTACTTTGAGCAAATCCATCACCAACCCAACACTTTCAATCGAGTCGAACTCCAATGCCAAGCTCTTACAAAGTCGCTTTTGGTCACGCACGGTTACTTCGAAACGGGTGTGAACACGGTCGCACCTCCAGTTCTCGCCTCGCAAATCCCGTAACCAGGGACAAGGATTTCCACGAAGTCGCAGTTGGTTGGGTCGTAACAAGCTCGGCATCGGACTTGAGATGATGCAATCAAGCCGTTGCTACCAGCTTCTGGACACCCACGAGGCCACAATGGAGTTCCGTCGTGAATATCCACGAACCCGTAGACAAGATCACGTTGAGGCGATTCTATTGGATAGCCATACTCCAATGCTGCTTCTATAGAGTCCACATCTGCGCGGGTCAGTTTAATATTTGTAATCCGCAAGTTTGATTCAGCAAAGTCAGTGTCTTCTACGCCGTTCCAAGCTCTGTAGTAGAGAGCATATACCAGCCACGCCCACCTCAGGGGATTGATCGACCGCACAGTCAGGAGTATTAATTTTGTTTGCCGATGCGTTTCACTGAGTGCTGAACAAGTGGCGGCAAAAACATCGTCAGGTATCTTGTCACATGACAATTGCAAAGCTTTGATTGCCGTCCGAGATGTAAGTCGTGCTTGGTTTCCGTGAATCTTTGATGTGCACAGTGTGCGGCCGCAGATCACTGAGCCCAGGAAGACGCCCGCGTTGAGAAGCGCTTGAGTTGTAAACTGAGTCGAGCAATCTAGGCTAACAAATAAATCTGAAATCGCGCTCCAAGCCAATCCCGCTGTCATCTCCACAATGTCCGATTGGCGCAGCTAAATCGTAAATCAATGTGTTGACACCAACCCTCTCACACGTTTGTAGCATGGCAGTGTCTGGGATTTGCCGCTCAAAGTTCAGTCTCCCAGCGGTCACGCGATACAGTGTATAAGCTGGATATTAGCAGGGACGCTAGCCTCCAAAAGCTGATCAAATTCTGCAAAAACTGTGTTGGTCTCGCCAACGGGTTTAGGAGGGATCTGTTTGCTACTTACTTCACCAGTCAGAAACTTACAGCTCCACCGAATCGAAAAGTGAATGCAACCGTTTAGGGTTGATTGAGTTTTCATTCGCCACCGCTACGAGTTTGTCGACCGCTGCTTGATACGCTCGATAATGTTGTAAATCCAAGCAAGTTTCCCCACGTTAGTGGAATTTGGACTACAGCATTGGTAAACTGAGATAGTTGTCGCAATTTGAGAAATCCCCTGATCGCTTTGTAGATGCGTTTGGAAGCTGATCGAGACAACGTCTTTGAGCGCTTGGTGCGAGGCATTCTGGGCTCGAGCCGACTTGATCATTGGTTGGATGCCTTGGACACCAAGAGAGACTGTAGATAGTTGAGCTCGCTGCTTTAGCTGATGCATGGCTCGGGCGATGAGCTGAATAGCCATACTAGTTTCCGTGACTGGCTCGTTCTTTTGGGCAAAACCAATGGCAATTATTTCTTGTGGGTCGTTCCCCAACACCACCCAAATACCTCTTCGCCCTGGTAATCCTTCCAATTTCACAGTGAAAGTTCACAACCATGCGATCAGTCGGTTGGCGAGTTTAACGCAGCTTCCGTCAGGTCGTCATTTCGAGGACGGTGCATCTTATTGTACAAGGGGTTTTGCCGGTGAAACAATGCCCGCAAGGGCCAGATCTATTCGATCAACTCAATTCGTACACGTGGGAGCAAACTATGATACAAAAGGTGTCGGGAGCAGCCACGTTGATCAAAATGTCGCGATCGGGTTCCATCACCCCCGCGATTTTTTAATTTGCTTCAACACCAGCGCAACGGGTGGTTGAATTTTAACTTATTCCACCGTTGATGTCGAAGTATTGTTGGCAATAAGTTAGTTTCCGTATCGATGAAGGCACGGCACACTCTTTCAAATACGAAATGTTTGATTCTTCAAATAATAGAACCATTATCCTCACCGCCATATAACGATTCTCTTACCGTGTAACGCTAACACGGAAAAAATGATAGAAAGCCCAAGAGTAAGATAAATAGTTTTTGGCGAAAATGTACCCATTAGGTCGACGGCTATTTTTTTTCTTACGAAGTGTTCCGGTTAAGAAGCTTTTCAGTCGTCGTCGTCGTCTTACTTGTTGGGGGCGTGCCGAACCCGGCACAAAAGTTGAAAATTACATTGCAGCGCCTCCACAGCCGGGGTGTGGCGTGGAGGGTTAAGCTGTGAGCGCTGTAAAGGAAGTCTGAAACTAACGCTGTTCTACGTCTTCATCTGCGTTGGTTTCAACTTCCTGCCTTCCTTCTAAAAAGCTGTTTTCACTGCTCCACTCGTGAAAATCTTCAGTTTCCGTACTAACTCCGTGTATTATTTGATAACCCCAGCCTTTCCAAGTGAAATGATCACAAACATAGTTACGAAAAAAGCAGTAGCTGCGAGCACAGCTTTGCGGTTGTGCTTGAGTGCTGTAAGGAGCACCGCGAATAAGCCCTTCTTCTTACTCTCAGCCATCTCTTTTTACCTGATCTCTTTCTTCATGATCTTATTATCGATAGTCTTGCCATCGCCCTTCAGAGCAGACGTGAGCCTCATGATGCCAGGGTCCTTGGCCAGTTTGTCCACCGCTTTGGGGGGGGGGGGGGGGGGGTCCAGAGCTTTGTGAGGTAGTTGCGATCCTTCTTAATGGCCGCCCCCACCTTTTTCACGCTCGGATTGCTCTCTGAGATCTTTGGGTCCTTACCAATGGCGTCGAGGGTATTGTCGACACCAGTTTTCTTTCCGAAATTACCTGGAAGGTTGAACTTGAATCGACGCATTCTCTCCTAGTTCTCGTCGTCGCGCAGGTGGGTGCCTTTGCCTCCACTATACGCTGGCTTGCTGTCCTCGGAGGCATCTCGACGCACAAGGCTGGGCGCTTGGTCGCCTAGAGAAGCGCTGGATGCAGCGACGAACGTGACCAGGAGCAGGAATAGGGACTGCACGAGGTGCATGATTCCGAGTCGTCAAACGCAGCGCGGCTTGGTTTTTGGATGGAGAGAGGATTTCAGAATGAAGGCTCTGGCATGTCCACCAGCAACAAACCTATGATTATTCTGCAGTATCTTTGCCATCATTGTTGACATGATCTTGCTGCGATTGTTTCAAGCGGTATTCAACCGCGACGCTTCATCTTCGTCCAACCAAACAGCGCCAGCCTAGAGCTACCATTGCACCACACGCCCACTGCATTTACAAAACTATAGTCATTGCATTCACATTAACCAGCTCTTGGACGCGCTCACCGACGTCCAGAAAGACAGAAAGAAGAAAAAAGCTAAATGAAAATTAAAAGTCACCACCGAAAGCCGTCACCCGTCCGTCAGCTGTAGCTCACCATGGGCCTGTTACACAACACCCCACAGCAACAGCACATTAGCTTGACTGCACCACCCATCAACCACCCCCAAGCAGCGCGTTACGCACTTGTCCAGCAGACTCTGGCGCTCGTCGGACGTGGACGCGCCCAGGTCGGAGCGCTCCTGGTCGCCCTTGCGCGTCTCCTTGTAGTACACGGCCGAGGACACGAGGAAGAGCGTGGCGTAGAGGCACGCGGACTCGAAGATGGGCGCGGGGCCCTCGACGCTCTTGCTGAGCTTCATGTACTGCGGCTGCAGGTGCACGAGCACCCCCACGAGGACGAGGAAGACGCAGCCGCTGAGCGACAGCAGCGAGCACGTGAGCGCCCAGAAAACCCTGTCCGCCATGGCGTCGTGTGAGCGATAGAGAGGGGCCCGGGAGTGTGGGGGCTGAAGCTTGGGGTGTGACCTGCTCGATCTATCGGAGCTGCTCAGGGGCTTGTGAATGTGGAAGAGGAGGCTGCGACGTTTCTTTTGCTGAGTGGGGATTGGGGGATAATGCGGTGAGAGAGGGATGTGATTGGAGGATATGCTGTGTTCGAGAATAAGTGGTGCAGAGAGCTGCGGTAGCGTGTCAACATTGTAGGTTGGTGACTTACGGGGGTGGGAGAGCTGGAGAAAGATACGACACTTATTGCGGGACGGAAGGCGCCACTTCAACGATTCAACGAGTGACATACATGTAGACCATAACCGACTGGAGTTTCTTGAGCAAGCTGCACTACGCACCAGTGATACAAGCGCAATTGGATCGGGAGGTCATGGAAGTGTCGAAACGGCTCTCGTTCGTGGGCATGGAGGCGTTCGTCAAGCTGCTGAATGTATCCGTGATCCGTGACCCAGCCATCGAAGTCAGAAGAACGGCGTTGTTACTCAAGGTCCAGTTTGATGGGACTCTGCCGCTTGATGACCCCGCTGTATACCAGAAAGAAGTGAGGTGGGGCTGCAGCAGAGGAACCAGAGGCGATGGGAGCGCAGGAGGGGATCCAACCGGAGTCCCATTCGGTGGTGTACTCGACTTGTTTGTCCGTCGTAGCTACCGACAAAGAACCCATCAGCTCGTTAAACGCCTCATAGTTTACAAACGCTGGCAGCGTGAACAGTTCTATCGCCTCTCGAAGTCATTGAAGCACCGCTGGGTCTCGTTCGTTGCCTTGGAGTCTGAGGTACATTCGTCGCCTCATTAACGAGGTACACGCATGCGGATAGTCAAACGAAACTTTAACAGTCGACGCGGTCGAATGGCTCTTCTCTTTCAGAGCCAAGCTAGAGCGCAATGCATCTCGCCACGGTTCGAGGAAGTCCCACTGGGTTGCCATGACCCACAACTGACAAAATTTAATGTGAAATCTTTCTTGTAGCTTAGTTAAGTGTTTGCCATCAATCCCTTCGGATTCGTCATATCACTATTATACAGCGGATAAAGATGTACAGAGACCCATTTCGATACTGGCCGGTGCAACGAATATTTGAAATCGTTAACATGACGGACTTCGTCAATTTTGTCTGCTTACATGTTAGACTAATATATGTATTATACCGATTGTTTTGCGCTTGTTAAATATTGGGCTCAACCTGTACGAGCCTAGGCGTTGAATCGGCTTCTTGAAGTGGTCGTAACTATGCTGAACAACGCAGCCTTCGCCAGGAAGTTTATCCTTCGTGAAAGGCAGGAGCTTGCCGTGGTGACACATTAACTCGCTCATTTCCACCCGTCGTATCCGCCGTGCCATGGTAGTGACGCGTGCAGAGTGACCAGTTCCCGAACCATTCGCAAGACAGGGTAACATCGCCCGCTTCACTGTTGTGGTGTCGGTATAGTCCTATACCGACACCACAACAGTTAATGTGTCCCATCGGGAAGCTTTTGACTTCTGGAAGAGAAATCTGCGGCGGCGCTGATTGAATACAGTATTTTACTTCGACCATCAACACTTGAAGCCTAGTAGCAACCAACGACAGTATATCCAATACGACCGGGGACGTTTAATCATGTTGGAAGAACATAACGCCATCACCAAGTTTTGCCTTGCAAATCCTGTACCCAGGTACAACGACACTCACCCATTTACCAGTAGTGGGGTTGTAAGGCTCGGGCAATGGCAGCCTCACAACATAACAAAATTATTATTACCGTAAATATTTTCCCCGCAACGATGCACTTGGGCCCCGTTTTGAATCTGAACAAAACCGTACTGGCGGGATTTCTTTCCGTTCGATTTCAATACTGGTGTACGATATCCAGCGTAAAGAACCACAGAATTTGTATTCAGGTCGGACACTGTTACCGTAGACCCGAAAACCTCGGCTCATGTAAGATGTGCGTAAATCAACCATGGCAATCGCTCGAAGCATCGTAACACGAGAATCGGGTGGGACAAACTCGCCTGTGCCGACCCGAGCTGACCGCCCGAAACAACGCGTCGCAGACCTCCAAGCCTGATAGAAAGTGTTCTCCAATCGCGACTGGAGCGCAATCGTGGGAATGATTGGTTGACCCACCACAGAACTGCGTGTTCAACAGGAACTCAGCATTCATCAACGCTTAAGACGAAGAGATCGCAGCCTCCATGATTTCTAGAAGATTGCTTGAGATCGCAGTCGAAGCCAATTCCACTGTTAGTTCCAAGACAATTGGATCACTCAAATCCCGTATCGCTCCACCACCACTACTTGACTTGTTGACCGACTTCCACGATCTCAACGGCGTAGCAGTAGCAGATGCCCGCATCAGTTGACTGACGCTCAGCTAATTCATCAGGTACCTGTCCACCTTCCAGGTCGAAATCCTGCCGTTTGTACGTTTGAATTTGTTGCGGTTTATTTAATATGGCTATCTACTCCCAGGTTTGGGTGTTTCCGAGCGAGCTGCAGCAAGTAGCGGGTGGATGGCGGGGTTGCGGCCGGTGGACATTGCGAACAAGAACCGCAGGCGAATAAGGGCGGGGTCAGGGCTGCCGATGAATGAGAACATGACGAGTGGGTCAAGGGATGAGAAGTCAATGACGACGACGTCGAGTACGTTGGCGCTGACGCCGGGCTACCGACAGCCATGATCGAAGTGAACGATGTACAGCGGAGTACAGCTTTGTTCGCTACACTACAGCGGGCACTGAGTGGATGGTGCGCGGTGACTAGGGGGATACGAAGACACCAGTTGTAATGGGCCTACTTTGGCTCACTACTTTAGCTTTCACGTGTGCGCAAGTGTGTGAGGAAGCGTAGCTTAGTTTAAACTAGAGTTAATTATACTCGGGCCTCCGAGTATAGATTAATCTAAATAAACGTTCCAAATAATGTCTTTGGGTTAAAATGAGAACTGCTATTTTTGTTTTATGCTTTCTGACTTCCTCTAAATGTATAGATAAATGGAATTCGTCGTGCAAAGTGAACGAAACAAAAACTAGAAATACTTCTATGCTATTTCGATACAGTTTCTATCGGCAAGAGTCGCAGTTTAAGTAACGATGGAAGCTCTCGATGCTCGCGTTGAGCAAGTGCTGGGAAGTATCACCTCTGACAACACCAAGTACGTCTATCTACGAACTTTATCTCGCTTCATAGAGTGGCTCTACGAGAATACGGAGGCGGATCGACGGCAAGTCCTGTTTACTAGTACGTTTCGTGAGCTGGGTGCAATTAATGGGGAGAGTATCGCGCAGTGGTTCTCTATCGTCCCTTTACGAAGCCCTGTCAATCTAAGTGTATTAAGTACTATGGAGTGTATGCGCTACTTGACCTCGATGGAGCAGGAGCGGGTCGAAATACCCCTATACCGAGCTCGACAAAGACGAGGCTAAAGTGGTTCTGGATAACATAAAATTCCCTTTAAATTATAAAGTTTCGCAGTGTTCCCATAACATCTGGCCTTACCCGACCCCTGGACGTGAAAGAGCACCATCGAAAACCTATATCCCACCGGGTTAGCCAGATGGGCACTCACATGTGTCCTGCCCAGAATACCACCTGAAAAAAGCATATTCAGTTTGATAGGGTTCCACTGCCCCGTCTCTTGATCCGAGGTCGGGACATGAAAGGGCACCCTCGAAAACCTATATCCCACCCGGAGATAGAGACGAGTCACTTCATGTTGCCCCTTTTACATAGCAAACCCTGTTTGTGCATAACCCCATGCCGTATGATAAGGTAGGACTGCCCGTTCTCGTGCTACCGGTCCGGCATCTGAAAGAGCACCCTTCAGAACCCCCCTTCCGATGCCGGGGTCAGGTGAGACTCCATACTGGAAGCCAGTATAAACGAACTTCTAAAATAGTGGGTGTGCCACATATATGGTACCCTGTTGGAGTTGGAGTGGACCACCCCACATATATGTGTAGTACACCGTCTGATGTACCCTCACACAAAGTAACACTCTCCAATTCGCCCTGGGGCAAAAGTTATAACTCGTCAAACGCAACAAGCAAAAGTGTGTGTGTGTGAGGCAAATACCAGCAAAAAGGTAGACAGCACCCGGACTTCCCCGGTGGTCACCCACCCGAGTACTACCCGAGCTTGAGGCTGCTTAACTTCGCAGAGCAGACGGGATACGGTGCTTTCAGCCTAAGATGGCCGTCTACACCAACTCATGTGTGGCACCGCTATTCATACCCGACACTCACACACACTTAAGGGGTATATGTGGACACCCCCAGGTGGACACAGGTGGACACAGACGGGCTAAACGTCCCTGGCAACCCCCAAAGTCGGGGCTGGCTGGGTGCGTGGATGGCTACATTTTGTGTACCCATTTCGAACAGAGGTACGCTACATGCGCCACACGAGGGGGGATTGAGGGAGGTGTGTGGCACACACAGAACAAACGTGTGGCCAGCATTCACCGCCATTTTGGACAGTTTAGGGTACCCTGTGACCTACAATCCTACTTGCACTATGCCACATCATGGGTACACACATACACACCCAACACCCTGCCGTGCAGATAGCCCCGCGCTCCATATTCACGCACACGCACACACACGCTAATGCACGCACACCAAGGTGTCCATATACCTTCCGCACACGCGTGGTGACGGCGTATGCGACATGAATCGCCATATTCGCGCATGTACACCGTAGTGACGTGGGGGACTTTCCTCGGTTTCCCGGAATATCCATGGGGGAATTCGCCTGCGTTTCGAGCTGCAGTGCGGAAATTGGAGGCGATGGGGGCGGGAAAGTCTACGATAGCGCGTCTTAACACCGGGATTGCGATTTACTGGAAGTGCAAGGTTCATGGTTCAGAGCTCGAGGGGCGACTGGAGCCTGTCCAATCAGCCGGAGCGTCGAACACAATCCGGGGTCAAATTCGAATCCTCTTCGACGTCGCCGTTCCTCCAATTATGCGTTTTTGTGCCACACGAGACGGCGCTAGTCTTCTGAGTACATGGAGCCCAGACAAGAAGCCTTGCGACCTCGTGCTTGCATATCTAAGACAGTGGTCTCACCCAGCCGTCTCTGATTTGTCCAGCGCAATGGCTCGGACGGCAATAGCAGACTTGACGCTATATCTCGACGGAACTACTATAAACTCGCGCCAAGCAGTGCTGAACGCTGGAGTTATGATGAACTCGGGGAAGTCTGGTTCGTCGTGTTACAAAAAACGACAGTCAATACTTGGACAATCCCATTCGAGTGACATTTGGGAAAATGAGGTTGCGGTGCTCCAGGGCCTCCAACAGGGCGTTTGTTGCAATTTGCTCCGCAATCGCGGCGTTGTCAGCCGAGTCACACCTAGAATCTTTCCACATGGATTCAGAGGGATCGGGGCGATGGCCTTGGCTCATTTACGCGATCTGTGGTGGAACGTCGGGTGTGGTTGTACCTTGTGTCGAGATTCGGAAGGGAGCTTTGACGAAGACCGACATTTTGGCCATGCGCGCCGCACTTCGAGCAAACTATCCGCAGCCAGCGTCAGAGGCGGATCGTAACAGCTCCCATCAGTATGGTTTTGTCGAGATCGATGAACGAACAGAGCTGCGCCTCTCTGGGGCATTTGATGGGGATGGTGGTTCGGTTTTGGTGGCCTGTGCATGTCGCTGTCGAGCCCTATTCGATTCAAACGACAGTGAGTGGGTCAACCTCGTCGTCCCGGGATATGGTGCTTGTAAGGCAAAACTTGGCGACAGAGGCGTCCGATTCGCTGCTGATGCTGGGAGGCCTGCATGCCTGGAGAAACGATTGAAAGGAGCTCTGGAACTATTCTATGTCGAGTTCGAGACCCCGGGTGTGTTGATAGATGTGTTGGTGCTGGTCACGAGGGGCCTTTGCTCGCTGAAATTATACTTCAAAGCAGAGGACACTACAGCCGCGAGTCATGTCGACCTTTGCACTCTGGCTAGGGCTTGCCCCAATCTCCTGCATCTCTGTCTCAGATATGCTACGGTGGTGGTGTCTGAACACGACGCAGCTCTGCGCCTTTGGTCTGTGAAGACGATCGAGTTAGACGAATGCTCCAACACGCTGGCTGATCTTGTGGGGTGTTTGAGGGACCCCGAGTTACGAATAGCTCGGGAGGTCGTCCAACTCAAGGTGACCCCGCGTAAGAATGAAGTGTTTGTGGAGGAAGAAGTGCGCGAGTTGATGACTCACGACGGCGAATTTCCGCCTCTGGTCAAGGAAAAACTGCCTAGGAGTTCGAAGTCAGCCGTGATCAGTGTCGTCACGGCCGCGATTTGGAGCACGAAGCCAATTTACGGCATGGACTCGTATATTCTGAGCTTAATCTTTGCATTCGCTTCTACACCGACGCAGCGTTCCATTGCGTATAGGGTTAGACGGATTCGAGTCCGGAATATATAGACTCCATTTGAACCCCAACTACTACAGACTGTAGTAGTTTTTGTATTCCTGGAATACAAAATTAGTCTGGAACTCTTTCGCCTTGCAAGGAGAAGTGCGTAATTTGGTGACTTATGACCGCGATTGCTTACCTCTGGTCAAGACGAAACTTAGGCTCGATATACTAGAAGTTGCAATTTGGTTTGCATTTGAAAGCTTCGACCTCAATATCGGATTTTCGATGAAGCTGCTGCGAGAAGCCGTCGATCTGTTCACAATATCAGCTGCTTCGAAGTACTTTGAAGTACAATAACTTTCACATTCTTTTGTCGTTATTGACACGTGAATCAAAAGTAAAAAAATATTGGTGGCTTCTACCAGTAGTACTCCTCCTTGTACTCGACTGATCGTTGCGCTGGAGTTGAGGCAAACTCGAAAATGGTACTTAAAACTTATGCGTCCATGCAGTAAATCGGCGTTTTGGTACTTCTCACCCTTGCGCCGACGCTGATCATGGCAGCCTTTGACTTGGCTGGAAGTCTCATGGGAGGTAGGTCCTCACTGTTGTGCACCAATAACTTTCTCACTTCTTGATCGCCCGGTCGTGACGGATCCACTTGAAGCCTGACAAGATCCCTGGTCATTCGTAGGGCAGGGTCTCCCAAACACCCCCTTATTTCGAAAAGCAGCTCGGAGGTTAGAGGCTATGGGGGTAAAAGCGCCTAACACTTAAGTAAAGGGTTTGGTGACGGTGATGACAAGGCGCGGGTGCATTTTGTTGTTCCCGGGTGCGGCGTTTTCAAGGCGAAACGTGGCGGAGGCGTCCAAATTATTGGGAATCTGACTTCCGAGTCAAACAGTTGAGCACGTCGCTGAAAATAAAAGTATTTTAGGGTTCGAGAGTCCCAAGGTGTTGATGGATCTGCTGCGGCTAGCCACCTGCGAGATCCGTTCGTTAACGGTGTGTACTGACGATGGGGACCCTGCCTATGCATATTGCAGAGTCCGACGACCCCGGTAAACGGTACTATACCTGCATACGATACTTGCCTAAGGCGTAGCTGAGTACAACGGCCGTCCCCTAGAACCGCTTGATCGGTCAGACGTAAGATATTTGTTTACCTTTAAGGACTTGGCCATCCCAATCAAAACAATTATGTCCGATCTTTGTGTGCTGGCTGCTGCGTCCCCTGAGCTTCAGGATCTCTCGATCACTTATTTACACGTTGTGGTCTCGGCTGATGACAATTCCCTCCGTCAATGGCCTTATTATGACTCTATCGTTACACGAACATCCAGGTACTCTGTCCCACTTGAATAGTTAGCAACTAACATAAGTAGATGATCTCTTCACCGCAAAAAAAAAAAAACTGGACTGGGTGTTTGAGAGATCCAACGCTACGAATGGCCAGAAAAGTCGTCAAGCTGGAAGTAATAGCACGACGGCATCGATATGACACAGAGGACAGAAAGCGTTGGTGGCTCATGACGGCGAGTTCCTACCTGTTGCTAAGAAAAGAAGTCCCTGGTAAGGCAAAATGTGCTATGATCAGCGTCGTCACGGCCTCGACCAGTGCGTTGAAGCCAATTCATCGTCTACAGTGTAGACGCCGACATACTCAGCTTATCTTCGTGTGCGCGTCCACCCCGGAGCAGCAATCTGTAATCTGCTCGTGTCGAGCTAGAAGAAGACGAGCGCTGGAGCCCTGAGTAAGGGCAACAGTGACAGCGCATTTCGACGCAAAATTAATCCTTTTGAGGCGGCACTCGTTTTGAATATCCGATTGATAGAGCACCAACGGGTAGTAGACTTAGCGAGATACAGTTGCGTCGAAGGTCCAAATAAAAGAAAATAAATAATGATCTGAAAAATCCCAGATTCAACCGATCGCTGCACTGGTGTTGATGCGAACAAAAAGATTAAGCTCAAAATGTACGCATCTTGGCGATGAATCGTTTTCTTGGTCCACGTCATGACCGCACTGACCATGGGCCGCTTTCGAACTCCTAGGCAGTTTTTCCTTGACCGGAGGCGGAAATTCGCCATCGTGAGGCAGCAACTCGCGCACTTCTTCCTCGACAAACACTTCATTCATACGCGGGGTCACCCGCGAGTTTGACGAGTCCCCGAGCCATTCGTAACTCGGGGTCCCTCAAACACCCCACGAGATCAGAGAGCGTGCACGAACATTCTTCAAGCTCAATCGTCTGCACAGGCCAGCGACAGAGCGATGCGTTATGTTCAGACACGCACACTGTAGCGTGCAAGATAACAATGCGCTGGAGATCTGGAGAAACACTAGCCAGTGCACAAAGGTCGACACGAATCGCGGGTGTGGTGTCCTCTGTGCTGAAGTATAGTTTTTTATGATGGTAAGGTATATTAGATTACTTAGCAACGCTTGAATCCTAATAACCCTGTAGCCCGGATAACTCCTAAAGCAAGGGTTAAGAAGTATAGTTTTAACGACCGAATTCGCCTCGTAACTAGTAGCAGCAGATCTATCAATCCAGATCAGTTTTTTTGCATAAATAAACTGAAGGGTGTATACATTTGGCCCTTCAATGTCGGAGCAGTCACTCTCTGACGAAGTTGAGTCGCTCACAACAGCATTCGTAGGGGCACTTGGCGCACCGACGCTAGCCCCTACTATTTCCGCCAATGTTGGCCGGCGGGCTGGCTGACGAGTACGACTGGTACTTGAACGCTTTGAGTCGGCCAGCTTGCCAATATGTGCGAGGCGCTTGTTTTTCTTGGGCATCACGGTTCAAGAGGGATAGTGATGGCCCAAGGGAAACAAGCGCATAGAGTATAAATTTAATGTTGAAGTGCATTGCCGCTATAAATATAAGCGGTATCGCTATGAATTGTAGCCAGTAAAAGTGCGATGACTATAATTAATATAGAATTAGTTCTAACAATAACTGACCGCACATTACCTTAAAATTTGATCATGCGGTATATCTATTTAAAGAGGTAAATAAGCGCATATACGTGCAACGAGGCATACCAACTCTAGATAAATCGCATCTTCTTCGTCAATATTTGCATGTTGACTCCGGGGAAACCTGCATCTTAACAGTGAATATTAGGCTTATACATGTATGATTCGTTTTAGATCTCAAGTTTCGTCCACTTTTCGCAATGAATATAAAAAAGTATCACTAAAATAATGGCAAGGTAAAGATCGCACTTTCGTTAGCTGGATTACGATCTAAAGGGTTTCCTCAGCACTAACGCTAGCAACCGTCGTAACATCCCACATGGGGCGGTTGACGCGAAGGAACGCGAGCTGTTCGAAGTTCGCCGGGAGTATAGCACGCCGCTGCGGGGTCAAAAGGAGCTTGCACTGCGAGAACAGACGTTACACAGTGTTTGAAGTCGGTGGGATCATCTTCACGAGAGGCATGTAGCTGGTGGCTCCGGCGGTCTGCTTCTCCTTCTTCCCCTTCCCTCGGAGTAGCGACGACGCGTAGTCCTCCTCTCTCTCCTTACGCTTCTTTCCAGCTGGGCCCTTGACCTCGAAGCGCTTCAGAGCTGCTGTTTCCGACTGCGAGAGAGCTGCCCCAGCGATCACCTTCACAACACCTGTCTCAAAGGCGGGAGTGTGCAGGACGTCTTGAGGTGCTCTGCCATGACAGGATACTCCGCTACCAGAACATCAAACATCAACCGCACCTCCGCCATGTCCGTATCCTCGCGCTGCAGCCGCTTGCAGATACTCTCGAACTTCTTCAGATGCTCGAATAAGACCACGAGCTTGCGGTGCTTGCCCCCCGTTGGGATCAGCTCCTCAACCGCCTCCACCTTCTTGATCTCGGAGCGAATACGAATGTAACGCTCCAGCATCGTGAATGTAGATGACCAGCGCATGACGTTGCGCTTGATAGGATGGAGGTCGGTGTGCTTCTTCAGCTCCGCGAAGTTGTTCTCGTGGCGCAGCTCCACCATGAGGGCGTTCACCTCATCCAGCAACGGCTCGTACGGCGCCAAAAACTTCTTGACGGCTAGGTTGAGCCGGTGGCTGGCGCAACCCACTAACGGTACGCCCATCTTGGTCGCGATGGATAGGTTCGTGTTGCAGTTGTCACCAACCAGAAACCCCACCATGTCTAGGGTCTTGTTGTAAACCTCGAGAACTTTCTTGAACATCTCCACGTGAGCGTCAGCGGTCTGCGAGCCGTCTGTTAGAGGAGAGAGCCCCAGCAGCCGCGCGCGCACCTCGCCATCTGCCTCACAAACAGCGTACAGGGCGACGTAATGCACACCAGCATGCGTCCAGCCGTCGAACATCAGGCCGAACAGGGTTCCCAGCTCACTCTCCAGCTTGAAGCCGATCTTGATTGCGATTCCTTCTATGCACTTCTTCAGAGCCTTAGCTGTGACGGGGCGCAGCTTGCTCATGGCTCGAGTGAGCTCGTCCTCGACTTCGTGGACCGGCATATTCCGCATGACAACCCATTGCAGCCACTGGAACAGATGGCTCGCCTCCTCAGGGACGAAGCCAAAGGCTTGGAGGGACCGGATGGAGCTGCTCTCGAAGGATGAGTACTGGGCCTCAAACCCCTCGTGTTTACCAGCCAAGTGCGCCAGAAGGTTGGAGTACCCGGATCCGGGCATCTGCTTGCGATCTTGGGCACAGAGCTTGCAGCGAAAGAGGCCTTGGCCGAGATGGTCGAAGAAGAAGGCGGTGAGAAGCTTGTTCGAGACCATTGTTTTTGGAGAATGCAATGTTGAAATGAGACGCTAGGCCGCCCGAGAATGGCGGCTGGGCTTCTCTACGAGTCTGCTCCTGACCGGTAATTGTATCGACGCTAGTGTAGTGTGGAGGACCCCATTGTTGATGTCATCGGTGGTGCCATGTGATGCCATCAAACGTAGATTTGTGGTGGGCCGCAGAACCGCACTTTTTTTCATATTTATTGTCAATAATTGGGTCAATGTCATATGGTATTGGTAGCTGGGATGTCCAATAATAAAGATTTGTATTGCAAAACCCAATTATTTGTTGAATTGAAATATTTTTTTTGACCTCTGCCCAGGATTGTGGTTGATGTCTCGGCCAATTGGACAGGTTTTTGTCTGCCTTCCAGCGCTGAACCATGAAACTTGCACCTCCAGTAAATCGCGGGCCCGCATTGAACATTTGCAAACGTAGTTTCTTCCACCCCCATCGCCTCGAGGTGAGAGAGTCCCAACACACCGGAGGTCCCATATTGGGGTGGGTAAATGATTTTCCACCCGACTGTGCTACCTCCAAACCAATCATCATCTCTTTATATGATTTATTCTTCACAAACGCAAGCAGCGTGAACAGCTCCATGGCTTCTCGAAGTTGTTGTAGCCTTGTAGCATCTCGCCGATCTCCTGGAAGTCCTAGGTAAATAGCTGGTCTCATTGAGTATTTATCGGGATAGGCAAACAAGACTTGCAGAGTCGATTCAGCCGCTGCGCCGTTTCCTTGCGGAATTAAATTGCGTAATGAAGTCCGCCAAGGCTCGAGGAATCGCCATTCGGCTGTCATTGCTCTCAAGTCAACGAACTTATTAATGAGAGCTGCATCCTTCTTGGGGACCAGTCATTCCATAGCAATCAATGTCGATAAAGTACCTTGTGTGATTAGATTGAATCGAAGTAGGGAGCTCTTGTCAGAATCATGGTTCAAAAACCTATCACTCGTAACCGTCTAACAAGTGGCTAAGAGAAACCATAAGCTGATGGGCTACTTGAGAGTGATAGCACCTGAGCTTGCATCAAGAATATGACTCCATTTTGCAACGCGAATCTTCATGTCGACAGGGTGGGAATTCCTGGAACCTTGACAGGCTATTTTGCGCGCCCACAAAATGCAGGCAACAAGATCCAGCACGACAGATGCGAACTCGAAAGGCCATAGAGTTACCCACACTACTTTCGCTTGTGAACAATGAGGCGCTGACAGACATGCGTCTTCAACAGCCCAAAAAATATTCCCAGACTGGGACCTCCAGTTTGTATCTCCGCTGTCATGAACCCGCAGCAGTCCGTGGGGAGATTTGCTCGCATTCCCGTATAACCCGTGGAAATATTCGCCTGAGTTTCGAGATACAGCTAGGTGATCGCGTTGACAGCGTCTACTGTAGCGAAGTGTATGGCAACGCCGCGACTTCTATTCACTGGAATTGTAGACTGCACGCTTTTGGTGTGGCGTACCAGATTTTTATGTCAGACTCATCTTGGGAGGCTCAGACATCACTTTCAGACCCCAAGCTGCATCTCTCGAATGGATGTAATGAACTCTCGACAAGAAGCGATTAATGTCGAGCTCGTGTTGAACAAGCTGGCCTGCAGTCGTTTCCAGACAAGTGTTTCAAGGTGAATGAGGCGCGTTGTTTCCGATCCAATACGACCAAGGAGCAGCAAGTTGGACTTGACCCGTTTGTGGATCCACTGTTTGTGGGCCTTTGCTCGGCAGTCACGGAGGCGTCTTTGGATGCGAGTCCCGCTTCCTTGGGGTTGGGCTTCGGCCCCAGACGATGGACCTGGCTGATATCTGCGCTCAGTGGCGGACCTTCCGATAACTATTCAGTAAAGTAAGAACGAAGCTAATTTACAAATTGTAAGTACACGATGTATCAGGTTGTGTGGATCACCCCAAATAGCTACTTAAAATCAAAACATGTGAGAAATCATTAAGCCAATCAATCACATGGGCCAATTAATTTGTCTTGATATCCGAAATAGCACCCTACTCACGTTCTTACTTTCATATCGGCTATTCATTACTCATTCTCGTATTTACGTAAGTTACATATGGGATTGCCTGTTAAAACGTAGGCGGATTGGCTTATGATTTCCGGAATTGGTGTATTCCCACCCCTTGGAGGACGACACATTGACTGAGGTCCACTATAGGGGCAGTTAGGATCGCATCCTTACGGGAAGGCGTAAGCGGCGGTAGCCGACGATAAGGCGCCACGATGATTGGCCAAAATCACTTTAAGAACTAACGCTTCGTGCGAAGATGGCCGATGGAAGCTCGCAGGACGCTGTCGCGGAGGTGAAGGCAATACGCGACGCATGCATCTCCAAAGAGACGAGAAAGAAGTACACCAGCAATATCAACGGCATCAAGAAGTGGATCAGAGAAGTGTATGCGCTGACGCTGGAGGATCGCAATACAGCTAAATTCTTCGATGCCGATGATGATCTAAACCTCACAGAGTTCACTCCAGCTTGCTTCGAGCAATTTTTGGTGTACAAACGAAGTACAGTCAAATCGGCGACGCTAAGCGGCTATCGCAGCGCGATAAAGGATCTGTATCGATTGAAACGAGCAGCGCTGCCTGTGGAATACGGAGATGACATGAAGCAGTTTTTTTCTAGGTGCAAGCGACTCGAGGCCGAGCAAAACCAGTCTAGCTCTCCTAAACACTCGGGCAAGCAGCCGCTGACTTTTACGTTGTACAAGGAGCTGTGTTGGTCTACTCTTGAGCGCAACGATGGGGGGTTCTCGCATCTCTTTTTAACTACTCAGTGGAATCTCATGTGTCGATCAGTTTATGTTCAAACCCTGCAGACGCAGCACTTTTTGGCCAAAGATGATGCTGTTGGGGCGATATTTTTTAAGTCCAAGACCAATCAGGAAGGTGCTGGGCCACGTGACCCCCGTCATCTTTTCGCAAACCCGTTTTCGCCATCTACGTGTTGGGTGACAGCGTTGGCGATTTATTGGGCATGTAATCCGCGCACGCAACCAGGGCCACTATTTCTGGGCTCTGACCCAAAGCTTCGCTTCGGCAAGACATTAGGAAATCTCCTGAAAAAAGATGGAGTGGCTAAAACCTACGGCACGCACTCGGTGAGGAAAGGTGTGGCAACATTTGCCTGCGGAGGAAGTACTGGTGGCCCGTCCATTGTAAGTGTTTGTCTTCGGTGTGGGTGGTCTATGGGCGGAGTGCAAGACAGATACTTTCGATATGAAGCTGCGGGCGATCAATTTTTAGGGCGTGTTGTTGCTGGGCTTCCTGTGAATGACTCCAAGTTCGCCATCCTACCACCGCACTTCCGCAATAACTCGGACGACGAGATAAAGTCGTGTCTTGCAGCGATGTTTCCAGGACTCGTCGACGAATTGCCCCTAAGTGATATTTTGAGGCTGTGTCTTGCTTCGCTTGTCCAGCACGCTGATTTTTTAGTGAACCACTTGCCTACCAACCACCCCCTTCTGTCGACGTTTGTGTTCACAAACCCTACCGTTCTCAACAATCTGCGTTCGAAACTGGAGGTCGGAGAGTCGAGATGGATGGAGCCGTCGGGGATACCGCCTCATATTGAGCTGTACAAGAAGCTCGACAAACAGCAACAGTCTATAGATGCTCTCCCCGAAATGCTTGAACAGCGAATGGAAAAGGTGCTCGAGGAAAAAGATGTTGCCGCGGGTAATATTACTCGGAAACGTTTACGCCAAGAAATTAAAGCGCTCTTGCTGGAGGTGGGGCTTCGTCGCACTAGCTCTACAGAACCAACACCAGCCTCTTCTGGTCCAACGCACACCTACTACTCATGGGGTGGTAAGTTTCATAGGCTGCCGAAAGAATTTGAATTTCCCAGTATTGATCCACTCGGCGCGTGGATATTGTGGTGGTTTGGCGATGCGAGACGTGGCTATCCTCCGTACAAAGCTATTTCCTCGGACGATCTCGACACGCCAAAGAAGAAAGCGACTTTGGCGGAGTGGTCTATCATGATGAGGCACATAAGTAACGCAGTTGAAGCACAAGCAGGCATGTCACTACCTCCAATTCGGGACGAACCTCACGCCATCGAGCTGTTCAACATTGGCTATCACAAACTTCAATTAAAGCCGAGTAAGCGTAAGCGCAGAACCAATCAGCTCAAGCTTACCACGGTGCTGAGATTAATTCGCGAAGCTGAAGGCACAGGCACGCGGTCGCTTCCATTCAAGCGGCGGAAGCGTCAAGTCGCTGTGGAGAATAGCCCAGCTCATGGTCCACTCGAACTTTCAGCAGTCACGCTCCAGTCGGCGGCGCCATCAGCAACATCGACGCCGCCCGCGACATCAACGCCGGCAGCAGCAACACCTTCGTCGCCAACACAAGCTTCAGATGTCGCCCCGCCGCCAGCTTTGACACCTGCAGCATCGGCGACTCCAGCGGCAACGGCGACTCCAGCGGCATCGACGACTCCAGCGGCAACGGCGACTCCAGCGTCGACATCTTCGCGACGAGGTGCGACGGCACCACAAGCGATAGCGACCCCGCCAGCAACAGCGAGATCACTTGTGGCAGCGACGCTGTCAGCTTCGCTACCAGCAACAGCGACGTTCACCCTCACGGGCCTTCACGAAGTCGGCAGCACACCAAGCCACGACAAAACACGCGTGAGAGATGAATTAGTACACAATACACAGCGCGCTAATAGCTTACATACGTCCAACACTTACGAGGACACAGAAGCTCTGTTCGGCTTCCCAGCATATTGCTTTGCTTTGTGATCCGTCGATAGCAGACAATTCACAAATTTTATCAATAAGAGCGAACTCTCCAAGCGTCTGCGTCCAAGACTTACGTTTTCTCAGGTCAATTCAGTCGCATTCTCGTCAAGATCAGAAAGATTGACTTGTATTTTTTTTACTGCTTTTTTGCGGTTCATAAGTTGACGCTTCACTCAGAGTTTCCACTAAATTCGCTGATTAACTAACTACCGATACGAACCAACTAACTAACTCACATTCAGCCTCACGTCCAGGTCCAAATGGCCCCCTTCTGCTGCGCGAGGTACCCACAGCATCAACTAACCCCCTCCGGTGCCAGGAAGACCAAAGAAACCGGGGCGCCAGCGATCCAGATACAGGGTCCGACCGCCCAGCTTCTCCACGGTCGATTTACACGTCGCGGTCCCACCGGCAACAACGTCGATCTCGTCGATCTTGTCACCTCCAGATATGATGTTCACCGTCACGTTCTTGGTGTCGGTGCTCGTGAAGTTGTGGATCACCTGACCGCCGCCCTTCTTTGGCCATGACATGGTGGTGTTCTTGAAAGCCTTCTGGATCATGTTGAGGCCCAGCGTGTCCGGGTGGGTGCCGTCGTCGCTCGCCCATGAACTGCGTGGGGCCGCAGATGGACTGGAAGTACTCGGAGATGAAACTCGAGACGCCGCTCATGTCGAAGCCCGTGACGACCCAGAAGTTAAGACCCTGGTTCACAACCTGGTACGCGTACTCCATGGCCTTGTAGGACGTGCCGTTGTCACTCTTCCCTGTCGTGATGAGGTCATTGATGACCACGCCGAACGTCTTGCGCAGCTTCTACCGTGTTTTGTAGGCCGTCTTCTCGTCGGACTGGGAGATCAGCAGCTCCATACAGTTGCTCGTCACCGTCGCTATGTCCGACTTGAAGATGTCCGTGTCCTGGATCTTCACGCGCAGCTCGTCCTCTGTGATGTCGGGGTTCGGCTCCCTCAAGGCCTCGGCAGTCGACCACGTGCGCTCCATGAAGCCTTGCAGGTCGTGACCACACGTCGAATTCGACCTGAGAGCGTCCTTGAGGTACCCGATCTCGCCTTGGGTAACCTGCTCGGGCGGGGCCGTGAAGTTGGCTCCCTTCATGAAGGCCTTGAACCGCTGCCAGCTGGCGATGATGCTGTCGTCGTGGGCAAGTACTTGCGCCAAAATGTACTGCGTCGTGGACATGATTCTGTCTGCAAGCCACCTGTTGCAAGTTGCCTTGCCGCCCAGACACAACTTGATGGTAATGGGCAACTCGACGACGACGGCGTTCGACTGGTAGAGCATCGCCAGAATTTTATCTTGAGACGCCTCGGGATCGGCAGCCTTAATGGAGCGGATGTAGAGGTTGAGCGCTCGCAGCTCGCCCACGATCATACAGGAGCACATGACGGCAGTTCGTACGCCCTTGGCCATCTCGGAGAACTTGCCGAACCAGTTGTCTATGACGCCGTTGATACCGACGTTGAATACAGAGCCGACCTTGTAGAGCACTTCGCGCCCACAGTCGTCGTTCTGGCGGATGCACTCCATGCCGCACTCCACTGGGAACTCAATGGGGCACTCGGCCCAGCACGTGCTGGTCTTCTCGCTGCGGACGTAGCCCTTCGGACACTTCTTCATAATGTGTGCCTCACGCCAGCACGCAGCGCCACTCTGGACCGAGCGTGGAGCGTGGACCCACCCAGTTACGGTAGACTGGCACAGCGGAGCTCTTGGCTGTGAGTGGTGTCGCTATATCGTATGAGCCGACAGATCAGGGGTCGGATAATACAGTATAAAATTGTATTGCGAGGCCAAAGCTGCAGTAGTAATAACGGCAATATGAGGTCAACCAATAATAATAATTGGTACAATTTAAGTATATTGTACCATTCGTGACATGAGCTATTCATGAGCTATTCATTGCCAAAATGTGACAGGAAGGCCGTTCGATATCAGCCATAGGACGTTTGCGTAAACTTCACGCGAACTTTACGCAAACGTCCCATGGCTGATATCGAACTATTACTGAGGTGTCAGGCCAACCTATTCAGTGAGAAAATACAGGTGGAGGCTGATGACGATTACAATAGCCCTGTACTGTTTCCAGGACGGTTTTGGGAAGTGTTGCTGTCCGGCAAAGCGCTATTGAGTATACACCGCTTGCTCCACAAAAGCCTCGCAACCCAAGGCTGTGTCCTCGACCCGAAAAATAGAGATTATAATAGTTTACTATAGCATTTTCAACATTTATGAACGCCCAACCCCAGAATTCATAGTATTTGATATTGTATTGCTATTATTGGGGCAATATCATATTGTATTGGTTTCATGAACTTCCAATAATAAATAATTGCAGTGGGACAATACCATAATAATTGTTTTGCTATTATTTTTTCCGACCCCTGCGACAGATCCAATCGTGACCAGCGCTGAAGATTTCGCCGACGAACCCGACGTCACTGTGACCGATACGTCCTCCACCGATGACACGGGTGGCGATGATGAGCCTGAGGACTGCGCTGATCCCGATCCAGAGGAAGAAAACACAGTGAACGCTTCAGCAAAAGACACGGAGCCGGAACGCGATGCAGAGGCCGAGGAGAACAGTTCCTCGATCAAATTGGCAACGGACCCGGAGGCTGATGCCGCCACGGAGTGCTTACGCGTCGTGGTTATAGGTCGGGATGTGCTATTCTTCGTAATGATGACACCGGTCGAGCTTAGCGTGCTGGTAGCTATTGCGATACTGGCCGCAAGCACCTTCAACCATGCCATCTTAAGCTATGACGCGTGGACTTGACACCGCAAAAAGGAGAGTGGGGTCACCCTTGCCAAGTTCCTTTCAGATGAACGGGGGCAGCATTGACCTTGCACATATACTACTGTACCAGTGGACGCAGCAGATATGGCGGGGCATAACGCAAAATAAATTTCGTGAGGCGTAAAAATCGTCTCAATAAACAGCCCTACCCCTAGACTTATGCAGTGAACCCATCTTAATCGTTGATCTTGAAGTTTGTATAGTCTATGCCGACCATCCACTCTAGCTGTTGAAGCAGTCATATATCGTAGCATATCTCAAGTTGCGTCCCTCCCCTTCGGCTGCTCACTTTCGAAAATCGTCAGCTGAGGAACAAGCCGCGTTGCCCCTGCAACCAAAAGGTACGCGCCTGTGCACGCATGCGTGCATTTGTTCAGTTATACTAACTACTTTCTCTACTGCTAGTAACTATGGTCCGCTCAACTACCTACTGGCCCGTCCGCTGCATCCAGGACTCGAGCGACGAGGAGAACACCCCGCCGAACGTGGTAGACCAAGGCGGCGTCCGCGGCGAGCGGCAGCAAGCACCGGCCCAGCGCAAAGAAGACGACGCCTGCGGAGAGCGACAGCTCGACGGAGACCGCGACTCCGCCGTGGGTGGCCCCGCAGCATGGCCTCCGCGTGCCGAACGCGGACACGAACCCAGCGCCGCCCGAGACGACGACGGACGCCACCTCGTCGACGCCGCTGCCCATGCGAAACCCGTGCGCCCCACGACGTCATCTCAGGTCCTGATGGAGACGCCGCCGTCGCCACCCCCGCCACGCACACGACCAAGGCCCCCGCGTCGAGAGCGTCGAAGCGCCTGCCAGGAGCGCCGAGCTGATGCTGGTCCGTACGCACGCCGCCGTGAACAACTGCAGCCGCCGGCTTCGCCGACGGTGAACCCGAGCGGCCTGATGCGGACGAGTCCAGCCTCTGCTGTTCGCGCGGAGCCTCGTGTCCCCCGTCCACGCGACCGATTCGTCCCGGCGCAGCGGCCATTTCGCGTGGCTCACCTCCGTGAGCAATTCAACCCGCTCGGCACGGTCTTCCCTGCAGTGCCCCACTTCGACTGGTGTGACTGCTCGTCTTCGTGCCGAGTGGGGAGCTGCCGCAACTCGTTGATGCAGTTGTACTGCAATCGGAACTGCTGTCCGTACGAGGGCATGTGCGGGAACGGACTGTTGGAGTCGACGAAGACCCGCTTGGCGAGGAACGCGCGAACGCGGCAGCTGTCTGTGGTGGCCACCGACGACATTGAGAGCGGCGAGGTGTTGGGCCAGTACTTGGGCGAGCTCGAGCACGTGAGTGTCGCGCCCGAGAACCGTCCGCGCAACGAGGGCTATGGCCTCGTCATGAGGCAGAGACCAGAGACGCCCAGCTACCCCGTCCGCGTTGCAATCAACGCCCAGCACCTTGGGGGACTGATGCGCTTTGTTAACCACTCGTGCGAGCCGGTGGCTACGTTCCACGAGGTGGCAAATGGGCGGCGAACGACGGTCGTGGTGGCTACGACAGAAGACGTGCTCCAAGGACAAGTGATCACGGTTGACTACGGGGCCGACTTGTGGTTTGTCTGCCGCTGCGGCAGCGAATCGTGCCACCACCGCGCGATCCAGGACCAGCGCGACCCGTAGGTGAGAACTGAATACAGAGAAGGTGTAGCAAGCGATGAGGAGTGATGTGTTGCATAGGCAAGCGTACTGTGATAAGCATTTGCAAGAAATCCATGAATCTGAATCTGACAAGCATGTTTGATGTTGAAGTTGACTGTTATTGCTAGAAAATGGAACTTTTGTCTTCAACGTCGATTGCCTAGAGCCTTGTTTGGCGCCAAAACGAACGGTGGCCTGGACGTGAGTCTGCCGTGGTCATCGCGCGCGCGCGGTTTGAGCGCGAACTCGCGCACTCTGTTGGCGCTTCATTGGTGGTGGTGCGTTGAGGGGCAATTAGCTGTGGTGTTGCTGAGGCGGCCGCTGACAGCGCAGTGGCCCCTTGCGATGTCATTCCTGCTTTTTCCAAGCACCACCGAAGTCCTCCGCTTCGAGCACAACTACTCCCCACCCCCAAGCCCTCCACCGCCGTTCCCGGTACGCTGCTAATGCTGCTTTGCATGCATTGACTACGTCGTTACACTCACACGCTCGTATGTGTTCTGTAGATGGCTAAACTTACTGGAACCTCTAACTACAAGGTGAACGAGGTTCGCCGCCTCCTGGTTCTCGTCGCCAAGTACCTCCCGCTTGGGAAGGATGAGTGGGAGCGCCTCGCGAGTCACTTCAACGCCAACCGCGGCCGTGGCATCGCCGAGCGCGACTACGAAAGCCTTCGGCGAAAGTTTATGGTGCTCTACAGCACCCGCAAGCCCATGGGAGTGCAAGCGATGCCGCCTCACATCAAGGAGGGCAAGCTGTTGAAGAAGGCCATCGACGACAAAGCCAACGTGGTCGTCATGGACGACGGAGGCGACGAGGACGACGGGGGCGACGAGGGCAACGAGGGCGAAGAGGACGAGCAGGACGAGCAGCCGGACTTCTGCTTCGACTTCGACGGCGACGAGAACTTCGATCGCGATTCCTGCGCCGGTTGTCGTGACGCTGGGAGCGGCACCGGCGGCGATAACTGCACCAGCACCGAGTTCGAGTGCGGTAGCGCCGCGGGCGATGACTCGGTGCACTCCGACGAGACGCGCAGCTTCGGCACAGACCGCAGTGGCGCGTCGGCCACGCAACCCGCCGATCGCGTCAGCGACATCTCGGACCAGCTCGAATCGACCGCTGTCAACGAAGGGCTGGAGGCGCTCGCGAGTACGCCACGTCCAGCACCGGTAGCCATGCGATTGAGCCCACGCCTTCGCTCGGCTGGTCTTAAGAAGCCAGCGAAGGCCCGACGGTGGCTGATCCGAGACGTGCATCGCCAACAACGGCGACGAGTGGTGCATCTGACGCCGACAAGCCGTCGGGACCTCGTTCGCGGGACCAAGAGGGCGCTCGCACGCGCGACCAGCAGGAAGCACAGCGCTACCCGAAACTAGCTAACTCCTCCAACAGGCTAGGAGGGGGAATCCTGGCCGACTTCCGCGACACAGTCGGCCGCAAGCGTGCGTACGAGGAGGACGAGGAGCTGATCGAAGCCAGCTACGCGAAGGCAAAGCGTGCCCGGGCTGCCAAAGCGACAACGGCGCTGAAATAACGGCTGAGCGACCTCGAGAGCTCAGCCAGCACGATGGGGGGCAGTATCTTCGAGATGATGCTGATGATGCGCGAGGAGAACGAACGCAAGGCCGAGGCCCGACGCATGGAGGAAGCGCAGCGCCGCCGAGACGAGCTCGCCGCTCGTGAGGCGCGTTACCTCGCGGACAAAGCGGAAGCGGTGGAGCGGTGGCGCCAGGAGAAAGTCGAGATCGAGGAGCGTGCGCGTCGCGACAAAGAGGAGGCCCGTGCCCGCACCCAGGAGCTGCTGCTGCTGATCGGCGCGCTGACGAACAAGGACTGATCCACGCGCAGATGCAGAGAAGTCAAAAGCAAGAGGGGTAGTTCATTTGTAGCGTCTACATGTCCAAAGCAACCCTTGTTAGCAAAACGTCAACAGCGACAACAGCTAATCTCAATCAAGACATGACTGTCACCTCGATATCAATTGCTTTCATGCAAATTAGGTCTCGGCACTTTGCAGTGCCCAAGTCAACAGAGAGAAGAGAGAAGGAATACAAGATCTTTGATGAACATCCATGTTATTTACTCAAAGTCAAAGCTACACCTTGTACAGACACAAGCGTCCGTCCTACTGCGGCATCGCCATGTCGTTAGCGAAGGTGGTGCGAACCTCAGAGATTCCGACGGTGCGGACGCGGCCGTTGGTCATGCGGAACATGTTGTTCAGCCTCACGCCTCGTAGCTGCTGATCGTAGGGTAGCGGTAGGTTTAGACGGCTGTTGACCTTTTGAATGCTGCCCATGCCCCACTCTGCAGCCTGCCTCACGGAGGTGATCGCGTTGTGCAGCGTGCGCGCCGAGCTGCGCAACGAGGGCAAGATCCTGTCCAAGTCGCCGTCCTTGAGGGGCGTGAGGATTCGGCCGGTCATGGCCGTGGAGCACGGGAAGGCCGAGTCGGAGACGACGTTCAGGCGCTCATCCGGGCAGAATTTCGGGTCCGTCAGCTTCATGCGGAACTCGAGCGACGTGTCGGAGTCGTTCCACGACCCCGGGCAATTATGCTTGCACCAGTTGATGCAGCCGTCGGCTGCGAAACAGATCGTCCCGGTCACGAAGACTGAGTGCAGCCATCCGTTGTACATTGCGTTTTGTTGATCGGCGCTAGATGGTTGCTGCACCTGTACAGTACGTCAAGAATAATGTTAGCAAACAGGTAACCAAACTAATAAAATTCACTTATAGTGTTCATACGTATGCTGAAGTTTTTGCCGTCTATGAAGCCAAATGTATGCTTCAGTAGCGGCTCCCGTGCCTCCACCAGCTTGGCCAGCTGCGTCTGACGAGAAAGCGAAGGCCATGAGATGCGCGCGGGTGTGTATCCATCCAACGCCTTAGCAAGGGCCTCCTCCGCTCTTTTCAACGTTCTCGATAACGTGCTGGGTGGCAGTCTAAAGAGCATGCACAAAGTGCTCTGCTCCATGGAGCCCACGTAGAAGCATAGGACTAGGCCAAGTGTCTGGTGGTGATAGCGTAGCTTAGGAGGGCGGCCCTTTGTCGACGGCTTTGGGATGTAATAGAAGCTACAAAAGCGGCTAAGAAGCTGGTGGAAGGCGGCCCTGCGCATGCATGCATCAAATAGTCAATTCTGAGAAAATAATGCGTGCGTCATTCATACCTTACCTTGTTAGGCTCGTTACGTTTAGGAAGTTGCGGTCGTGGCCGCTGGTGTACAAGGTCATCCACGCGGCCTCGCAGGGCGTGTCGAGGCACTGCGAGGTCAGGTAGTGGCACGTGCGCACCGCAATGCGCCACGCCTCCTCTGCCAACGCGTCGTGCACGTCGCGGCGGGCCTCGTGCAGCTTCGCGTTGTGCTGCAGGTACGCCTCGCACAGCAGCAGCATCGTGTCCTCTTCCTCGCTCATCTCGTCTGCTCTTGAGTAGCTCTCAAAAATGGCGAACTTCGAGCGGGGGCGAAATCTGGAAGGATTGCGCATGTTTTAGTGTCCTAGACTAAGTGCCCGGATACAAATGCCATTTAATCGTATCAGTGGCCGAAGGGGACTAAATATAACGACCGGAGATGCCCTTATATGTCTTTTGTGGTGGAGCAAATTTAGGATAAGCAGACGTACTCGGAAATAAGAACCGCCATATCTGCTGCAGATATGGCGGGTGATTAGAACACTTTTGGTAGGCGTCCAGTACCGAGAGGGCAGCCGTCGTTTATGTACATCTAATAAGCGCTCCGGGTTTCCGCATGTTTCGAGCAAAGCAGTTTCGTATTTCGCTACGTGTATTCTACAGTATTAGTAATACTGTAATACTGTATTACTATTACCTCTAGGGCAACTTTTCTTAGGTTACCGTAGTCAAAAAGTGTCAGCGACGTGTTATTTTAGTTCAATTTCAGGAATGAATGGACATTCCGATGAATGAATTGTGTGACCATTTATTAATACACTACCCCCCCCCCACAAGATGACATTGATGTCAGGATCTAGGCAGTTAGAAAGAATCAGCTGCACATAGTTTAAGGTCAGATCATCACTCATGAGATCACAGTGTACAGTAATCACCATTCTACTCTGTATGTATTATAACCAAAAACTCTGCCGGGCAAACGGCAATGCACTTAGCACTGCATGTGTGCAAACTGACATCAAGACTCAAACCGAGATTCAATCTTCGCTGGTCCATTTTAACAATCGACATGTTTTTCACCGGATTGACTCTGTTATGACCAGCTGACAGTCACATCAGCCAATCCGAATACACAAGAAGTGTGCATGAAAAAGTGTAAACAGCTGTATGTACCGACATAGGATATTAGTACAGCACAGCGAAAACCGATATCTTGATTTTGTATAGGATTATGGGCTTTGCTTCGCTGCGCTCCTGCGATAAAAAGATTCTCTCACCTGGCGAGTACAGTGCTCGGCTCGCTGAAATGCTCGGCGCTGGGCCCGCCTCCGCAGATATCGCGCGGCCCTGCTTCGCGGGCACCCCGTGCGGGTCTGCTATGGCTACGCGACCTCGCAACCGCTCGCCTCCGTTGGTCCTTTCTCTGGCCCATGCTGTACTGATAGACACTTTCGTATGTACCTACCGAATAACCTTAGTTATGAGCTACACCTGATCTGCAGCGGAGAGATGCTGCAAAAAAAGTGCATAAAATGTTCATACATACAAAAATCAAATATAACACCGGGAAGAGCTGTAAAAAGTCGCCTGGTTTTGCGAGTTCTGATTGGCCAAAGACCCGAAGCTTGATGAGCGCAGTGGCGAGCGCTCGAAGAACACTTGAGAGAAAGTTGAAAAGTTGAAAAGTGATTGATTGATCCGTTAGTTTAGCGTCGGCGCGCCGCTGCCGCGCAACCAGTAGTTCTTGGCGACCAGGACACGCAAACAAGTATCCAGGTCCCATCCTAAAGTCTATCAATCTCAAATCCTAGATCAATCCTTATCTACCAATGAAAAACTACTAATCCAATTCGTAGCTTGGCCAAAATTTGTGACTTGCGTCCCATAATCAAACGTCCGGCTGGAAAACTTGATTGTTGCACATATCAAGGATTTACAGCCATTGAGGTCGCGCGAATGTCCATGTTTACGCGTCCCATAATCAAGTTTACTTTTGACACCAGCCAATAGGATAGCATATAATGAATATAAACCATGCATCCCCGTATTACGCTGTCCAGCGTAAACTGAAGTGCTGTGCAGCAGCACTTGACGTGGGAGTCCTCTGCCATCTCATTGGCAGACGGACGTCCACGTCACATGACCTCCCTTCCAAGAAGGCCTCACTACTTCGAAGCTGCCCTTTACTTCTTCTTGAAGTCCCAGTACTTGTCAATGAGCCTTGGAATATGATTCAGGTTCTCTACGGGTTTTCATGTAGCGTCTTCTCGGGGTTCCCCCAGCCACCAAATCCGATATTGGAGCTTCTTCCTGCGACGGTTGCCGATGACTTCACGTACAAGTTGTCCCTCTGAGCCATCATTCAAGATCACCTTGTTAACATTTTGGCTGCGTGATTCGTCGCGGCGATACGGCTTGAGCAACGAAGTGTGGAAAAGGGGATGCAACTTGAGCCCCTTCGACAACTTCAGCTCTAGTAGTCATGATGAACTTGCTTCACGACCGGGTAAGGACCAATAAACCTTGGCGCAAGTTTCTTCGCCTGTGCAAACCCCTTGTGACGAATGTCCAAGTTCCGTCCATCCAAAAGTACCATATTCCCGGGTTTGAAGTCTTGAGCAAGTCTGTTCTTGTCATAATACGACTTCATTCGAGTTTGCGCCTCACTCATCGCGTCTTGTGCCATTTTCAGAATTGCGTCTTGCTTGAGCAGGAAATCTTGTGCTGACTTCTGCAACTGATCAAACTCTGGGTCCCCAGCCACCTCATCTGGCATATAGGGCACATAACCCAGATCAGCCTCAAACGGGGACATACCGATCGAGGAATGGACACGTCTGTTGTACGCGAATTCGGCAAGATGTACGTATTCACCCCAATGATTCTGGAATGGATTCACGACACCTCGTAGATAGTCTTCAATAAACCGATTAGTACGCTCGGTCTGACCATCCGTTTGCGGGCGAAAGGCGGACGACAAGTTTTGAGTTGTCTCTAATGTCTTAATCACCTCCTGCCAGAACTGTGATGTGAATTTCGAGTCACGGTCTGAGACGATCGACTTCGGCACTTCATGGTCTTTCACATAATTGACCATGAATAGCGCAGCAGTCCTTCTGCTGTCGCCGCCGTGTTCGTGGCAATGAACTTAGCACGTTTCGTCAACCGGTCCACAATAACCATAATGGCGTCTTTTCCGGCTGCCGTCTTCGGTAGTGCAACCATGAAGTCCATCGTCACATCAATCCATCTGCCTCCTGGAATCTCCAACGGTTGGAGTAGTCCCGGCGGCTTCGTTTGGCGTGCCTTGTTTCGCTGACACAGCTCGCACGAGTTCACATAACGCTGAATGCACTTCGACATCTTGGGCCAGTAATATTTCTTCTGAACGCCTAAGTATGTGTGGTGTAGCGGGATCGGCCAAAATCTGGTTAAGGCCTGATCGAGCTTCCCACCAGCGCCCGGACACCGACTAACGGAGGGGGTCCCCCAACGATCCGTGATCGGCTGAACTTGTTCTCACCTTGTGTACCCGTCGGCGGGCTGGATCTGCTCTCTCGGGGCTCCGAAGATGCAGCACTTGGTGAAGATCGAGTGTCTTGGCGTGGCGCGGGGATAGTTTGTGGAGCAGCGCGGTAGTCTTCGCTCTGCATCCGAGTATACGCTCCGATCGAGGGTTCTTCGCTTCGATCGGTCGGCCTGGAGTAGATCCAAGGCCTCTAGTTGCCTTTCCGGGTGTGTTCCTTCCTTTCCTGAGTTGCTTGCCGCTTCCTATAGCGGGATCGAGGTCGATTGAGAGACGCAGCGATCGCCGGCCAAGCAGTATCCGGTCGATCGAGGACTTGCACACGAGAGAAAGATCACTACAGTAGGTCAAGCTGGCCAATGTATTAATCCAGTCTTAACCGTACCGCTAGTTCAGTCAACGCTTGCCGAGGCCAATGTAGCTCCTGGGACTTGACGACTTGAGGGCACTTGTGGTCTTCTGTGCAAATTGCGTTCTGATTTATGTTTAGCTGGTCTCTCTCTACCGCTGCCATCTCATCTACCATCCTACAACCAAACGATTACTGGATTCTTGCCCTGGCTTCGCCCCCATGTGCCCATCCGGGTCGATCGGCGATCCACGATCGGCTCCCGATCCACGATCGATCCCGATCGGCGATCCACGATCGGCTCCCGATCCACGATCGATCCCGATCGGCGATCCACGATCGCCTCCTGATCCACGATCGATCCCGATCGGCGATCGGCGATCAACTCCCGATCGATGACCTGTGCGAGTTGCCGTGCGCTGCCGATCCGTCCTCTTCTGTTCTCGGCCGCCCTAGATCTGCGAGATTGGTCGTCGATCCGGGCTTGGGTCTACATCGAATCATGCCGCAGTCAAAGCGCGATCGCCCGTAATCTGTCTTGACATATGTGTTGCCTTACGCGTCGACGTTATCCAATCGCTTGAGATCTCTCAATAGACCCTCTTGATCCGCGACCCGCAGCCTGATCCCTGCCTATCGTTCTGCCACCGTGTCGCTTGATGTCATCGCAGTTGGAAATTCTTGTTCGGTGCTTCACCACAACCGCCCCCTGTCCGTAAGTCGGGCCGCACGGCGGCTCATTGCAGATAAGACTTCACCATCCCAGTATCAACGGCTCACACTTCGTCGTGAAACCTATTACTCCGCTTGATCGAGGCGGGCACCGACGATCACCGGCAGGACCCAAAGGTTGCTACCGCCCCAGGATCATCTGGAACAGCCGATCGCGTGTCTCCTCAACGAACTTATCCCCAATACAGAGTGTCTGCAGCAACAACAGCATCCCCCAGCTCGGATGATCGAATTCAGCGTCCAGCTGGTCAGCTCGTCTCTCGTGAAATCTTCGATTTTTGGAGGCCGATCGCGCATCTTCGTATCATGAAAGTCTCGGATCAATAAACACCACCGTAACCTTCGTCACTGTTGGCCACCTCTCTCAAGTCAATCCGTCGTCACCAACCCGATCAGTCCAGATCCATCGTCATACCACCTTTCGCCACCAACCCGATCAGCCCAGATCCGTCGTCGTAGCGCCTTGTAGTTGCTCCATAATCATCCGATCTGCATTCATATGCACACAATCATATCGAATATAAAACCCCTTCCTCCGATCAACGGCCTCCCCGTCGATCCGTCACTCACCTCGCTCACCAAGGCGACCAGCTCGCCCTGGCGGTCCGATCTCACTCTTCTTCGTGAGACTGCATCGCGCCAAATCGGTTCCGGTTCACGCAATCTCGAAGGAACTGGTGCAACAAAGCTTCACAGTTGAGATCAGCTTCGTCGACCCAGCCAGGCTCGTCGTAACCCTTCCAATGTACCAGGAACTCTCGATAAGTCCGGCCGTATCGCGTCCTTCGGCCCGTCCGCATATCCGTGATCTTCTCCACTTCGTACTCGTTCGAGTCTCGATCTGGGGCCCAGCTGTCCTCCGGAAGTAAGACTTCGTCGAAATCAAGTCGATCTGCTTCGTCCACCGTGAGCGCGATCTGTGGTCGATCGGGGAAGTCCTTGACCAACTTCAGCTTCAAAACATGCACGATCGGGAACAGGTGATAGTCCGTACCGGCGATCTGGAGCTTCATCGTGTACTCGTTCACCTTCTCCGCAACACGGAACGGGCCGTGCCACAGGTGAGCTAGCTTCCGGGCATACCCCTCTTTCACACGATCCAGGTACAGCCACACCTGAGATCCAGCCTCGATCGAGTGTGGTCGAACTTCTTCATTGTGTCGATCGGCCCGATCCGCGATCGCCTCGCGCAGGCGAGCATTCACCTGACTTCGAGCCTGATCGTAGTGCCTCTGGATCCGATAACGCCACCGTCGAGGATTCCGATCCCGAGTCCGAGTACTACCCCAAGGTATCGTCGCTTCGAGCGTCGATCGAGGATCCCAACCATGCACCAGATAAAAAGGGGAGTCCCCACGGACCCGATCTTGAGCCGTGTTGATCGCGAATGTCAATCGCTCTGCGTACTCATCCCAATCCCTCTGATCCAGATCCTCCACGAACATCTTCAGGGCTCTCGTCGCAGTCTGTACCATTTGCTCTGCAGTACCGTTAGCCTGAGGTCGATATGCCATGGTCGCTCGCTGGCGCATACCCAGGATCTTGTTAAAGGCGCGGAAGACGTCAGCCATAAATCCCGGCTCTCGATCGTTGCCTGATCACCTCGCTAGCACCAAATCGCCGGAACACGCACTCTTCGTAAGATTCGGCGATCGTCTGCGCCGTTCGGGAGGAACTGGCCTTAGCGATCACGTATCCCGTGAACAGATCGACCCAGATCAACAGTTCCGTATTACCCTTGTACGACTTGGGTAGCGAAGGTATGTGATCCATTGCTATGATCTGGAACGGGTATGTCGCCTGGATGTTTCCCGGCGACTCCCCCTGATCGTGGGTCGTCCTTTGCCGGTCTCGCAGTCGACACATTCGCCGACGTACTTCTGCACACTTCTGAAGAGACCTCTCCAGTGAAAGTGATCGCGGATCCGCTGGTATGTACGCCCGATCCCCTGGTGTCCACCTTCCAGAGTGGAGTGATATTGATGCAGGATGTCTTGATGCAGCGTCTCCGGTGCGACCAGTCTCAGCAGTCCATCTCGATCTGCCTCCGATCGCTTGGAGAGTGGGCAATAGAACAGCAGATTATCACCGTCGATCTCGTAGTCCGCTACGAGGTTGCCATAGGATCGAGCCTCATCCTGTGTCAGATCAGCCACATCTCCCATCAGATACTTCTTCATACCCGCGATCCACATTTCTTCATCCTGTGCTCGACGAATCCGATCGATCCGCAACCCTCGCACGAACTCCTCCTGCATGACGGTCGGGTTCGGCCATGATCTGGTGCCCGATCGGGTCGTCATCGGCGATAGTCAGGCGATCGACTCATCCGACCGGGCGACCAGGATCTCATCAAGTCGGTTCATTGTCACTAGATCCCTATGATCGGCATCCTCCTCGACGACGACGCCCCCTTCACGATGGAATGCTGCACTGGCCAGGCTGTCCGCACTTCCGTTCCAGTCTCGTTTCACATGTAACAGCTCGTGATCTGGCCAGTTCCGTAGTCGATCCAGCACCTTTTGCTTCAACAATGTCAGCTTAGGTGCTTTGCAGTCGATCTCGCCCCGTACTTGTCGGATCACCAGGTTGGAATCACCGCAGACCACTATCCTGCCTTGATCTATGCCGTCAAGGAGGTCGAAACCCAACAACAGACCATGATACTCTGCCTCGTTTACAGTCAGCCCTTCAGCATAGTCCGCTCGGGCCTTCACCACACTCCATTCGGGTAACTTCCACAAGATCGCGCTGTATGCGCCTCCGCCTCGCTTGACGCGGGCAGATCCATCGAAACTTATCACCAGCAGCTCTCCGTTCGCACGCACAGTCGGGATCGGGGCATGAATCTTCCGCCGGGGTTCTTTCTTCGGCGCGATCGCGATCAACGCGTCGTCCATATCCGATCGAGGCGTAATACTAGCGGCGATCGCCCCCAATATCTCGTCCTCTCCCTTGGTGCACTTCGTGATCTCCAGTGTCCAGGGCGATAGGAGTGCAGCCCACTGACCCAATCGGCCTTGAAGGCCGGGTGATCGGAACAGCCACGCCAACGTCGAGTGTCGGGTCAAGACCCGTATCGATCGTCCAACCAGCATGTTATAGTTCAGGTCCAGGATCCGTAACAGCGCCAGCACTTCTTTCTCCACCACGTTGTAGTTCAATTCATTTGACTTCAGCGTTCGACTGGCGAAGGTAACGGGATGATAGATCTGGTCGTGCTCCTGCGTCAATGCGGCCGAGATCGCCCAGTCACTCGCATACACAATCACGACCGGAGTCCGATCGCGATCGAAGTGCCGCAGGATCGGTGTCGTCGCGATCTTCATCTTCAGTGTCGAAAAGGCACGATGAGCACGGATCCAGCGTTCATCGGCGACCCCGACTTCAGGAACTGGTGGAGTCCGATCGGGATTCACTGGGTCCGTATCCACTGAGTTCGGCACTTGACGATCCAGGATCTGGCGCAGATCAGGGCGCTTCTTCAGCTCGGCGAAGTCCACCTCGCGCAGTTCATACAGGATCGCCGCGTAGATCGCGTAATCTTCCAAGAAACAACTGTAGTAGTTGAGACTGCCCAAGAATGACTGCATCGATCGGAGCGATCCGGGGAACGGCAGATCAGTCAGCGCAGTGAGATCCTTCGGATTGGCCTCTAGCCCGTCGTTCGACACACGATGTCCCAGATAGTCCACCTTACGCATCCCCCAAGAGCTCTTCTCCACACTGATCGAGAGATTCCACTTATCACAAGCGTCCAGCAGGTGATCCACACGATCGCACAGCTCATCCCATGATCCGGCCGTCACAACAATGTCATCGATGTACGATCTGCGACCTAGCACTGATGGACGCCCCGGATCTTCTGGTTCATCTGACTCGATCAAGTCCGTAGTGACTTCACAGTCTGACGATCGCGGGATCCTGGTGAACCCATACAACGCGTCGTCCAGAAGTCGCTGGTAGATCTGAGGAGCGTTCTTCAAGCCGAACGGCATCCGGTTCCACTCGAACAGACCCATGTGGGTGATAAAAACCGAGATCGCACGAGCTCGATCGGTCATTGTCACCACCCAGAATCCACTAGCCATGTCCAAAGAGCAATACCAGAGTACCTTATCCAGATCCTCCAGCAAATCGTTGATCAAGGGCATCGGATATACCTTCAGCCTGGTTAGACTGTTGACGAGCCGATAATCGATGCAGAGTCGGATATCCACGCCGTTCTTCTTGATGATCACGACGATCGGCGAGGCCCACGGTGATCGAGATTTCCGAATCATCTTGCCTGACAATAATCCCTTGATCAGCTCGGACACCTTCTCCACGAACTGAGGGGCAACTTTCCGGACACGTTGAGCGATCGGCTTCGCGTCGCCCACGTCGCCCCGGGCTGCTGGGGGAAGTGCATTGCCCTTGCCGATCAGCAGGTGATTCCTGTGCCAGATCTTCTTTCACAGCCGATCGATCTCCTCCGGGGTGTTGAACTCCAGATCTCCCACCTTGATATCATCGATCTTCACCTCATCCGTCGTCGAGATTACAATTTCAGGAAGCACAGCTAATTCACCTTCGACATCTTCTGCTGACAGATTCCCGCCCTCGTGGTAATGGACCTGATCATCAGCACCAACGTCTCGATCTGGTTCTGACGCAACGAGATCGTCCCGATTTGAAGTGGGTGTGGCCTCAATTTTTACCTGATCACCTCCAACGATCGATGAGTTTTCGGCCACTTGCGGCAGTTGTTCAGATGCGGGAACACCATCGACTGCTGTATCGTCAGTTGATCTCGACTCTTCCACAGCTAAGACAGCCACAGGGTGTGTCCGATCGGTACTCCCGCCCCCAAGATCTGGTTCGACGGCACAACCGTCGACCTGATCGGCCGATGGCAAGTGAGGGGACACGATTTCGCCCTTCTCAGCTGCTTTACCACAGGAATCCACATGGTCTGGCTTCCTCTCTGGATCGCCAGCACGATCATCTTGCGGCTTCGCGTCATCTATCGGTGCATACGCTTGATCCGTGATCGGCGAAGGCTGGGAGTCCAGCCCTACCTGTTTTTGCTTTGGAGAGCATTCCTCCTCCGATCCGGAAGGTTCACACACCGACTCAACCGGATCCGACCGTGGGTCTGGTGGATCTCCGACGAGAACAGTTGAAGCTGACGACCTCGACTCCTCTGTCACGCGATAATCGTCCTGCAACGGTCTGCCTCCTGATCTAAGCGTATCAACGACGGCCGCCCCCGGATCAGGGCTCATTACCTCCGGTTCGCTTGTTGGATCGGCTGGACCCGTCGACTGATCGATGATCGGGAATACCTTGCGTCTCTGGAGAATGGCTCGGGGCGTTGGATAAATCGGTCGCTCGACGGCAGGTACTGGAGGCCCCGTTGGTGCCTCCTGGTTCGTCGGCCGGTCATCTGTCGTGGCTTGAAAGGCTAGATTCTGCCATTCCATGTATCGACGAGATCCGATCGACACATATCCTGGGATCCGGGGTATCCGATCTCCAGCCAGCCACATCGCGATCCGTTCATTCCGATGCATGACGAGGTCTTTGTCGCTGTTGTTGGTAACCTGGAGATATCGGATCTTGCCGCGTCATCGGACCACGGTCGGCACCCAGCGATCTCCACGGGTGACCCACAGCTTTTCTCGATCCGTCACCTTCATTTGTAGCGGAAGCTCGATCGAATCCCCGATCGCGATCTGCATTCCCTGATCCACACACACGTGTCGGACATTCTCGTTGTACAGCTGACGCCGTCCGCTAAGCTGGATCTTGACTTTGTCGGGGAGACAGATAGAGCCGTCCGCAAGATCGAGGCGGATCCCCGCCGGAACCATGAAGTCCATACCCAGGATCGCCTCTTGTCCTGATAGATCCCCAACCCAGATATCGAAGAAATACACCAGCGATCTCGCCAGCGTAACCTTGATCCTGGTCCTTCCTTCCGTCATGTACACGCTTTCGCCAATCCCCACACATTCCTGGCTCTGACTCGTGTCGACATAGCACCCCACCTTACGAGCAAAGGCGGTGTCCACGATGGACACTTCGGCGCCGGTGTCTAAGAGTAAGATCAACTTCTCATTGTTGATCTTGCCAGTGATCTTGGCCTGACGGAACCACTTACCTGGCGAATGATGTTTCCAGTACCCTCTGGACTCCCCAGGGAGGAGATAGGGCACCACATCACCAGATCTGCGGTGTTCGCTGACGCGAGGCCGACTTCGATCGCGATCATGCTCCGGGATCTCGGTCGTCACTTCGCCATCAGCTGGGTTGAACCATTCCTCCGGTCTGCGTTGCTTCCAATAGCCCCGCGTTTCTCCAAACTGGAGATCCAAGGGCACTTCGGCGTCAGAACGGCTGAAGTTGTCCGATCGATGTAGACTTAAGACCTTGGCGGCATATTTCGCATGCAGATCACATGTATTACCGCGTAGATCAGTCCGTCCACTTACTCGATCTACCGTGTTCTTGTTCACGAATGCATAGATGCAGTACCTAGAACGCTCGGCTCGTACCGGATTCCAACCCGGCGAGCGTCCTAGTTTAACATCTTCTCGGGGATCGCGGGCAACATGCCAGCGTGCTTCACCGGGTTGAACCATTGACGGATCTGGTTGTAGATTTCCTCCATCGGACACTTGCCCATCTCGTGTAGTTCACCACATCCACGGCACACAAACAGGAAGCGATCCGCCGGATGACCTCTCTTGCCACACTTCTCGCACGTCAAACGTCTCCAACAATCGAGACCGGTGTGTTTCCGCGATCCACAATGTGAGCAGCGGTTTATCGCTCCGATCCGTCAGGTGAAGATCGCGATCGTGGATCCGATCGAGGTGGGTCATGGTTGATCTGCGCCTGGTTGCTTCGATCCGGCTTCGTCGCGTCGCCCCCAGCGTTGCGGGACTTGTCCTCGGCCGATGCTAGGTAAACGCGACGTAGATCACCCTCCGAGTCCGATCCGTCTGATCCCGAGTCCGATCCGTCTGATCCCGAGTCCGATCCAGACTCCTGGCTCGCGATCTGCACTGCACGCACTGCCCGCTTGGTTGCAGCAGCTGGTGCTGAGGTCGGAACTTTCTGACGATACTTCGATCCAAAGGCGGATCGCTGCTGTCTACTCTTCGCGCGCTCTCGAGCGCGCAGGACTTCCTCCAGATCTTCCGCGTCCGCAAGCCGGAGTAGGGTGAGCTGATCGGCCAGCTCCGGATCGCCCAGTGTCTCGATAAAGTGTTTGACATGTTCTCGGCGGGCCTTGGAATCCCCGTCCTTGATCTTCAATCTTGCACGTAGGGCCGCCACATTCAGTCGATAGAGGTACTCCAACGGCGATTCATCCGATCTCTTGCGAGAATGATAATACTGCCAAGCGACCGATACTCCCAGGCCACAATACTGGATCTGGAAATTCCGGAGTAGATCGCTCCACTTGTTCCGCGTCGATCGGCCCAGCTGGTGGTACCAGTTCTTCGCCGGGCCCGTCAGTAGATCAGCGAAGGTCAAGCACTTCTCTTCGTCCGTAGCCTGATCTAGCAGGAACGTCGATTTCACCTTGCTGATCCACGATCGGGCGCGATCTTCGTCCTGATCCTTGCCACTGAACTCCTTGAGATCGGACATCGCGGAGATTCGCACGTGCTGGATCAAGGAGGACCCAGTGGATCCCGAGGCAGCGGTGGCCACCGCAGCAGGGGCCGAACTCGGTAGATCAATATCGTCCGGATCGTATTCCCACTGGGAGAGATCTTGGTCCGGTGATCCGGCTGATTCCGTCTCCACGTCCCGCGATCCAACGTTGTCGTCGACCACTGGAGTAGGTGTTACCACCGTGGCCTGTTCTTCCTTCAGAAATCGAGTCATCGCAGCCTGAAAGTAAGACTCCAATCTGCCATTCGACTCATCTGATCCGGTGGCACTGGTGGTCCGATCGGTCGACTTGGGTTTCTGCTTCCGAGGTCCTGACCGCATGCGTTCCTGACGTTGACTCCGTGATCGCGCGTCCAACATCGCAGATCCTGAAGGGCCGAGGGACATCCGTTGGGGTTCAGACGACGTATCCG